ATTTCGGGTCACGGGTCGGGTTCGGGTCGAACCCGACCCGTGAGCATCATAAAATGCCACCGAGTGATTCAGAGTTTAATGAAGCATTATCAATTTGCTTATGTATAATTTTTAAGCGACGCACCAAATATGCGAAGGAATTTGCCAATAGAAATCCAAAATTTTACATAAAGTTTTGCATGAAAATATTTCATATATGCAAAATATGCTAACATAATTTTCTTATTTACATATCTTATTGACAAATAAATTATAAAAATACATCTGTTTTGCCAAGACAATTCTAAAAATATTGATCCCATAAAAAATAATTGCAAATGCCGCCTCAAATATTAAACACGAAGGTTTCATGTATGAAATCTACGCTCAAGTATTTTCTTAGAGAAAGTTAATATTCCCAAATGAAATGCATGTACTAGTTTGACTTTTAGGATAAATTATTAGGTGTGGAGACCGGACAAAGACAGCTGTCTAGTTTTGTCACTGTAAATAGTAAAAATATAGTAAACGCTTAGTGGTAAATAGTAAAAGCACAGTGATGAACAATGACTACGCTTTTACTTTTCACAGAGACAAAATCAGATGGTTATGTGTCCGGTCTCCGCACGTAATAATCTATATGAGCCTAATTTTATGAAAAATTGAATGAAAATAATAAAAAATAAAAAATAAGAATCAATTAAAATAATTAATTTTTTTGGCTCTATCATCATATATTTTATATTATAATAAAATATCCTTTTGATAGTGTCATTTTATGTGCCATGTAAATACTTCCTTGATAATAAAAAATAAAAATAAAATAATTATATCAATATATTCTTATCAAATTGAATTGAGTGAAACATATAAATTATGTATTGTATAGATCTTTCTCAAAATAACTAGAGTAAATTTAAAATTTATTTAATAAAAAAGTTTGATTAGGATATCCAGATTTTTTTTCAAGAATTATTGCTCCCTCCAAAAGGTTACCGTGAATGCTTGTTTTTTTTAACTTTTTTTTTTTCAATTAATTTAAAAATTATTCTCTTAAAAAATTCTACCTTCATAAAGTAGGCCAGAAATACTTACAGCTTTCTTTTTTTTTGGGGTAAATTGAGGGCTTGGCCCATTCTATTAAAAAGAAAAAGGATTACAAAATTGCTTCTAATTCCTTTGAGGAACGGAAACTTCTGTGGGATGAGCTAAGGAACTGCTGTCCTAACAACGATATGGCATGGGCTGTGTTTGGTGATTTTAATTGTTGCCGGTACAACACTGAAAAATCTGGTGGATCTCTTCTTAATATTTCTAAGCTTGCTCCGTTCAACTCGTGCATTTTTGACTGCAACCTTGTGGACCTTAATTCTTCTGGAATTTCTTCACTTGGTATAATCAGAGGACGGATAACCCTATTCATCTAAAACTGGACCGCATCCTTGTCAATGAAGCTTGGCTTGCAGCTTTTCCTGACTCTCATTATGATGTGGGTAATTGTTTAGTATCTGACCATTCTCCCATTTTTTTAAAGCAAATCTCTAAGAAGGCTTCTAACAAGAGATTCATGTTTAAAATTTATTGGTGTAATATTCCGGAATTTTGGGAGCTTTTGTTGGACACTTTTGCTACTCCTACCCAAGGGAACCCTATTCACTGTCTTTATCAGAAACTCAAAGCTCTGAAACAAGGAATCAAAACTAAAAGCTGGGATTCATCCTCTTCACTCGAGCTTAAGTGTAGAGAACTTACCTCCCTCCAAGATCATTACCAGAAGTTGGTAGATTTGAATCCTCAAAACCTGGAATTTTGCAAAAATTTTAAAAAGGCCAATCTTGAGCTAGCTTTCTACAACTCCTTAAAGGCTAAGTGGATCATTCAAAGATCAAAAGTTAAGTGGCTTAAGCATGGTGAAGAGGACCTCAAATTTCTGTACTCCAAGGTCCATATGAGGAAATCCCATAATAAAGGCATTTTCAATTCTTCTATCTGTGGTAATGCTCATAATCCGGATTTTCAAGAGGTTATTCAACATTTCAAAAACCTTTACAACTCTCCCCCTCCTTTGCTTACCAGCCTCCTTGATATACCTACTAGGAATACTATCTCTGAAATTCACAAGGTCAGCCTGCTATTACCGGTTACTAATGAGGAAAATTTTCAGGCTATTAATGCTCGGTGCTCCTCTTCGGCACCTGGGCCGGACGGATTCAATACTGAATTTTTTAAAAAGACTTGGCATATTACTGGATTATCTGTGTGTCTTACTGTCAAGTCTTTTTTTAAAAAATGCTACCTTCCTAAGAGGGCTAAGGCAACTGCCATTGCTCTTATTCCTAAGACCACTCATGTTGAGTCAATTCAAGACTTCAGACCTATATCTCTGTGTAACGTCTTCCACAAAATTATTGCCAAGATTCTTGCTTGTAGGCTCAAGCCCATTATGCCAGAGATCATTCACCATAGTCAGGCTGCCTTCATTGCTAATAGAGTTTCATCTGATAACACTATCCTTGCGGCTGAGGTTCTTGGCTTCATCTCCAAGAATTGTAAGGATAATTTTTTGTGTGCTAAATTTGACATTAAGAAGGCCTTTGACATGGTGTCTAGGGAATTCTTATTTAAAAGGTTGGAACAAAAAGGGATTCCTATGTTATTTATTTGGTGGATCAAAGCATGTATTAGTGACATTAATTTCTCCATTTGCATTGATGGGGGACTTAATGGATTCTTTGGCTCCTCCTCTGGTATTCGGCAAGGCTGCCCTCTTAGCCCCTTTCTTTTCTGTTTCGTAATGGATGCCTTGTCTTGCCTTATTGATGGGAATAGTACTTTGAACAGATTCCAGGGATTTCAATTCGGCAATTTTCAGCTTACTCACCTGACTTATGCTGACGACTTATTGATATTTGGCTGAAACTCAGAATTGTAATAATCTTATGAGTACTCTTCAAACCTTCTCCTCCTGTTCCGGCCTTATCCTCAATCTCAATAAAAGCTCCCTCCTCATTTCACCCACTGCTTATCATCTATTTGTCATTTCCCTTGCCCTTCAAATTCATAATTGCTCCACCACCATTTCCTACTTGGGTCTTCCCATCTCCCTGGGGAGAGTCAAGCTCTCCGACTTTTCTCCACTTATTGAAAAAATTACTAACCTGCTTTATGGCTGAAAAGCAAAGCTTCTTTCTTTTGCAGGTAGGATTCAATTCATCAAATACACCATTACCAACCTTGTGGCTTATTGGGCGAGAGGTTCTATTATTCCTAAAACTATTGTTAAGGCTATTGATAAAGCCTGCTCCAAATTTCTTTTTCAGAGGGGTGATCAGTCAAAACATTTACATCTTATCTCTTGGAAACATACTACTATGCATCACTCTAATGGTGGTCTTGGTATTGCCTCTCTTCAAGCCCTTAGATCGGCTTATAACTGTGTGACTATTCTCAGGATGTATAATCAGGATTCTCAGCTTTCCAATTGGCTAAAAAACAGATACAATTCTCCATGGAAACCTTCTAACCGTAACTGCTCTGCTTTCTGGAAGAATATTCAAATTACTGCTACACGGTTTAAGCACAACTTTAAGTTTAATGTTCTGGCTAATAGCCCCATTGCCACCTTCTGGGATCATTGGTGCCCACATGGCTCTTTTATGGACTCCTTCCCAGATTTCCCCCTTTCTTCAGTCAATGTTGACTCCCTCACTCTAGCTTCTTGGATGAGTGAAGATTCTTGGTTTCTTCCTAACTTCCTCAATCAACATATTATGGAGTTCTTTACTTCTATTCCCATCTCTGTTAGTAACACCAATCACATTACCTGGGAAAACAATGAAAATGCCTCGTTTAAGGATTTCTATAGAGAATTCTTCTGTTATGAATATGTAGTTGATTGGGCCCCGCTTGTTTGGCACAAGAAGCACTCCTTGAGACATTCGGTTTATTCCTAGTTGGCCCTCTCTAATGGCCTTAAGACTTCAGATAATTTGCGCATCAGGAACGTTATTACAGAGGATTTTTTATGCCCCTTGTGTCATCAAACCCCTGAAACCACTGCACACCTTTTGTTTGAATGTGACTACTCTTTTACTGTCCTTACCAGGCTTATTCCTAAGATGAATTGTTTTCTATTCAGACCTAACATGGGCCAAGCTCTCCAGTTTATTGATGGGTTGGATGTGAATAGGGACTTGAAGTCCGCCGTTCTGTTGCTTTTCAATATTGCTGTTTATGTTATTTGGACTGAGAGAAATGATAGAATTCATAAAAGGACTTTTTCTTGTGCTGTCTCTTTAGTTAAAAAAATTACTAGAATTGCTTATTTAAAGCTGGACAGTTGGAAAGGGGGAAAGACTATCAGAGAGAAACTTTTTATTTCTTACAACTAGGCTCATGCTGGCTTCTTTGGCATTACGGTTTGGCTTGTATTTCTGGCCTGGGGGATTGCTGGGTGGGGATGTTCTTGGCTTATGTTATTTTCAATATATGGTTTTTTCTGGATGGCTTTGCTTTTTAAGGATCTTGGGGAAGTTTCCAAACACTCATGGGATGGTTTTTTGGTTTGCAAGTATAAGACATTATTTGCCTATGCTGGGTAAAGCGGACATTGTCATCCGTTTTTCTTCTTTTCTGTGGCAATTCCTTGCTGGTAGGAATGATTTTTGGCAGGTTTCTAAATTCTGTACGACAATTGTTGGTGGCATTTCTGTTTGCTGCCCAATTTCATCAATTCGCTGCTGCTTTGTTGCCGATAAGGGGTGCCTTCTTCACAAGCAGGTTTTTTGGGCCGAGGACGATGATGATACCTGCCTCTCCTTTAGGACGGTCTACGGGCAACCAAAGGAGACTGATCATAAAATAATTTATAATTTACTCTGAGTCCCGGCCAGACAGTTTTTGTGTCTGTTTTTGGGTTTCTTTTCCAGTTTTTTAAAGAAAAAAGGTGTAATTTTTTGCTTTTACAATTTTGCTGCTTGCTCTGTTTTATCTGGCAAGCAATTTTGTAATACTTACAGCTTTCGGAAACCTTTGAATTTTAGCTGAAAGTGTGCGCTATCTGCATCTGTGGATCAATTCGCAGCCGCTCGTGCCACCTAACTCTACCATTTCATCATCACCAACTCCCCTTCGTACTCAATACGTCAATTCCATCGCTGCTCTCCCATAAATTTATGTTTCTCCGTATGCTATTATGGCGTGTTGACCGAGAACAGCAGGGCGATGGCGGTGAGGGAAAGCGCTTGGGAGATCCAGGTGGAGGACGTCATCGCCGCTGGACTGCCTCCGGCGGAGGCGAGGGATTTTCATTTAGCGCTCCGGTCGGCGGCCAATGCCGGCCGACAGGTAGGGATGGAGGCGGAGGTGTGGCGAGCAGTGGTGACGCAAAGATTACTGAGGCCGGATCATCCTCACGCTCTCCACCAGCTCGTGTACTACTCCGTGTACGCGAAGTGGGACTTGGCTGAGAGAGGGCCTCCGCCTTACTGGTTCCCCTCTTCGTAAGCTCTTATTTCGCCTAATTATTCGTGATTATGCATGGGATCTATTCAATAGCTCTATAAAAATTTCTGTAGTTAACGTTTAAGTCATAGATTTCTATAGGGGCGGAAACAGCCTTTGAAGAATGCCTATCATTCAAAAAATTGCATATAATAGCAGTATAGCATTCAAATTGTAGTTGTTATAGTCAATGGAGGAACAATCCTTTCATTTCAGGGTGGACAAATTTTGTATATAAATAAACTAATATTTTAAAAAATAAAATGAGAACATAATTCAAAGCAAAATCATTATGATTGATAAATTGAAAATTATAACAAATTTAATAATATGTTTTACATTTTTTTTGATAATGTTGCATTACAGCTTCATTGAGAATTAAATCGAATATATTTTTTTCAATATAAGGCATAAGATAATGATTGAGCAAATCATCATCCATTCTACTATGTAATTGATGTTTGACAATCCTCATTGCAGATAATTGATGTTTTTTTCAATATAAGGCACCAGACAATGCTCTTCTTTCGATTAATTGATGTTTTTCGTCGATCTTTTACCCGACGCAGTACTTCTACCCGACGTCAGACTTTTGCCTGCAATCGGACTACTACATGCGTCGGACTTCTTCCCGTCGATGGACCTTCGTCGGTCTTCTACCCGACGCAGTACTTCTACCTGCCATCGGACTACTACCCGAACTTCTTCCCGTCGATGGACCTTCATCGGTTTTCTACCCGACGCAGTACTTCCAACTGACATCGGACTTCTACCAGCCATCAGACTACTACCTGTCGAACTTCTTCCCGTCGATGGACTTTTGTCGGTCTTCTACCCGATGTCATACTTCTACCCGATGTCGAACTCTTGCCTATCGACGAACTTTCATAGGGCTTCTACCCTACGTTGAATTTCTACCCATCGCCGTACTTCTCCCCGACGTCAGAATTCTACCGGACTTTGAATTTATGCACATCGTCAGACTTCTACACGAAGCCAAATTTTCACCCTTCGTTGGACTTCTGTCTGTTGTCAAATTCCTACTCGACGCCGTATTTCTTCCCGTCAATAGTCTTTTCAACATCCCTCCTTTCAACGGTCTCTCCGACCTCCATCGCCAACCAACTAATATCGAAACTCCGCAGGATCTCTCGAAAAAATGAGGGAGAAGGGGGGATCTTCGGTCCTTCTTGCACAGAGAGGGGCCTTAGGCCTGCATGAGGGATACCACCAGTACTGGGCCAAGGGAAGGCCTCAATTGAAAGAAAGGAAGGAGAAGGGGGATCTCCGGACCTTCTTGCATTAGGAGGGGCCTTGGGCCTGCACGAAGGATACCTCCCGTACAGGGCCAAGGAAAGACTTCAATTAAAAGAAAGTAGGGAGAAGGGGGATCTCCGGACCTTCTTGCACAGAGAGGGGCCTTGGGCATGTACGAGTGATACCACCCGTACAGGGCTAAGGGAAGGCCTCAATTGAAAGAATGAAGGGAGGAGAGAAAGTGCAAGAGTTTAATACCCTTAACGGGGTATTTATAGGAAGAAAGGGGAGTTGGAGAGGTTAAATTTTTTTTTTTCAAAACCGCTGGCAATTTGGGCTAATCGCCAGCAGTTTTCAAACAGCGGCAGGCAACTAGCCGGCTGGCAGGCCAGCGGGCCATGCGGGTTAGATTAGGCCTGGGCGCGAGCACAAGGGTCACCGTGCTGGTCGGGCGCTGGCTGTGGGCCGGGCGGGCTGGCGCGCGGGCCAGGCGAGGGACCTCTACGCCCATAGTCGAACTATGTTCGAATTTTAAATCACTCGACAAATTTCCCACAGGCTAAGATGCATATTTTCGGACTTCTGGAGCCTCGACGTCCGAAAATAGGAGGGCATTTGATACGTCATAAAAACATTATCTTGATCGGGCACGAATCTCGATGCAAAATCAAGTTGGAAACTTCCAAAATTAAAATTGAGACCATTCGAACTCCGATTTCAGCAAACTCATAGTCAAACTGAACGTCTCCGAAATACGAACCCAACGACATCAAATTCGACTCAATCCGAGCCCAAATGAGTCCAAATCAAGGACCCGAAGCATTGTTGGAAGGTTCAAACCACAATTTAGATTACCAAATAGTTTCCAAACATTACGTGCTTATAGTCGAATCGAGCGACTCGACGAGACGAATCCAACGATCCTTAGATTGCCGAATTCCAACATCATTAAGACCGTCAAATGTTTGATGAACGGTCCACAATCAAGGGATTTAATATCGGCCGTCCATCCAACCACTCCTCATTTGCCCTTGATCTCTCACCTATTTATGGGTCATGCCACTCCAGAAATTTATAAATAGACCTCTCATTTCTCTTGAGAGGGGATCCAAGCTAGAAGAGAAGAGAAGGAAGAAGCTCCTTCTCGACCATCGCCCGAACTTTCGCCGGACCACCATTGGAGGCCCTCACCTTCGCCGGACCATCGCTTGACGTCGTTGCTCCGCCGGATCACTACTTGAGGCCCTAAGCTCCGTTAGACCACCACTGGAGGCCCTCACCTCTGCCGGACCACCGCCTGACGTCGTTGCTCCGCTGGACCACCACTCAAGGCCCTGAGCTCCGCCAGACCACCACTTGAGGCCCTGTGCTTCACCAGGCCACCACCTAAGGCCCGGACTTCCGTCGGACCACCGCCTGACATCGTTGCTCCGCCGGACCACCATTTGAGGCTCAGACTTTTGTCGGACCACCGCCTGACTTCGTTGCTCGGCCATACCACCACTTGAGGTCCTGTACTCCACCTGGCTACCACTTAAGGCCCTGTGCTTTACTAGGCCACCACTTGAGGCCCTTACCTTCGCCGGACCACTGCCTGACCTCGTTGCTCTGTCAGACCACCACTTGAGACCTTCGCCTCCGCTGGACCACTGCCTGATGTCGTTGTTTCTTCGTACCATCACTTGAGTCCCTCACCTCCGCCGGACCACCACCTGACGTTGTTGCTCTGTCGGACCACCACTTAAGGCCCGCACCTCCGCCGGACCACTGCCTAACATCGTTGCTCTGCCGGACCACCACTGGAGGCTCTCACCTTTGCCGGACCATCGCTTGATGTCGTTGCTCCGTCGGACCACCACTTGAGGCCCTGAGCTCCGTCGGACCACTGTCTGACGTTATTGCTTCGCCGGATCACCACCTGAGGCCCGGACCTCCGCCAGGCCACCACTTGAGGCCCGAACTTCCACCGGACCATCATATGATGCCCGAATTTTTGCCGGACCATCACCTGAGGCCCAGACTTCTACCGGACCATCACCTGAGGCCCGAACTTCTATTAGGCCACCACCTGATGCCCAGAGTTCTACCATAGTACCGCATTCCGGTCTCCTGCCGACTACAGTCCTTTCGACCTCCATCGCCTATTATGGCCATTCTGATCTCCATCACCAGACGACGGTCTTTCAGACCTTGGTCTCCTATCAACTACGGTTCTTCCGACCTCCATCACCAGGCAACAGTCTTTCAGACCCCGGTCTCCTGCCAACTACGGTCTTTCAGACCCATGTCTCCTGCCGACTATGGTCCTTCCGACCTCTATCACCAGGCAACAGTCTTTCAGACCCCGGTCTCCTGCCAACTACGGTCTTTCAGACCTATGTCTCCTGCCGACTATGGTCCTTCCGACCTCTATCAACAGACAACGGTCTTTCAGACTCCTGATTTCCTGCCTACTAAGGTCTTTTGGACCCCTGTCTCGTGCCGACTATGACCCTTCCAACCAAACAAACATGTCTATGTTGATTATTGTTACTCCCAACATGTAATGCGCTCTATATGATGTACATTTGTACCATCAAATCAAGGCCTTTTCCTTAAGAAGGGCCTCATTTGTAATCGACTGCAAATACTAGTGGATTCTTTCAAACTGGGCCAGGCCCCGTGGTTTTTCCTCCCTTTTTCAGGGGTTTCCACGTAAAAACTCTAGGGTCTCTTATGAATGCTACACTCTCTTTTTTAGCTGTGCGCGTGCTGGATCTTCGTACAACGCTAACACGTTAAACTATATATTTCTCTACCGCTGTGAATACTCTAGGACGCAACAGCACCCATAAAATCTCGACCCTAAATCTGAATAAACCCTTATCGAACATAAAAATTCCTAATAAAATAAATTTAATATATCTCAAAAACAACTACTCCGGAGTTCTCATACACATGAGGAGGCTCAATGAGGTGTGGCTTTCCTAAGCATTCACACTCATCAACAATGAATGGAGGATGATGGTTTGTAAAATCGATCCCTAATAGTTGAGATATAACCGATGATGATGATGATAAACTAATTGAAGCATATATATGACTACTTATTTTGTTCATATTTCAGATTTTCCGCATTTTTTGCTTTAGTTCACATATTGCTGGCTTTCTTAAAATGGAAATTATTCAAATATTATTTAACTTTCTTCTCGATTGAGGTGTTTACTATTGACAGGGCACAGTGTAAGCTGACAAACCTTGGACGGCTTATGGAAGCCAATGGTCCAAAACTCTTGGGTTCATCATATGTGGATCCCATTACAAGTTTTAATGTATTCCAAAATTATTCTGTTTGTCATCCGGAGGTGATTTCCTGTTCTATTAATTTGAATGGCCTCTAACATTACTTATATGTTTGGATTAATTTGAATATGGAGGTTAATTTTCATATCTTTTCTTTCTTATGGCGTGATTATATTTTGAAAAAAATGTTTTTTTTTTTAATGTTCTTTTTCAGGTGTACTGGTCAATTGTGGTGAAGGAGCTTTCTGTTATATTTCGCAATGAAGCTAAATCTATTCTTGACACTTCTGATAAGTTCAAGGAGGGGGGAGCTTGGTTCCCTGGTGCTGTTCTGAGTATCGCTGAATGTTGTCTATTGCCATCAAATTCTCCAAACAAAACAGATGGGAATTCGGCTATACTTTGGATGAATGAAGGTTCTGATGATTCTCCTGTTAGCAGTTTATCTCAAAAGGAGCTCCGCCGCCAAGTGATGTACACAATTCTCATTTCTGATCTTATACTCTAAATTTATTGTATTGCAGTCTCCACGTAAAATATGCTGTGAATAGCTGTTTTGGTTGGAAATTGTGTAAATTACAATTTGCCATTGTCATGTTTGCTAGGATGGTCGCAAATGCACTTGACACTCTATTTACAAAGGGAGATGCAATTGCAATTGACATGCCAATGACTTCCACTGCGGTTATAATATATCTAGCCATCATCCTGGCAGGATACGTTGTTGTGTCCATTGCTGACAGTTTTGCATTCAAGGAGATTGCAACTCGCATGCGGATATCGAAAGCCAAAGGAATATTTACTCAGGTGACCGTTATCCTTTGATCTTTAAATTGTTACCGTTATCTTTACTTGAAGTTTATCCAGTAAAAGAGCAATTTGTCTGAAGAAGCAAATATCACATGCTATTCTCTTGTTGAATTGGACCAACACATGCTGTTGCTTCCTGGAAAACAGCCTTGGGCATGGTCGAGGTTCAATTCTCAAAGGATGTGCCTTTATTTCAAGCTTTATTCCTGCACATAAACCAAGAAACAATATTTTCACCCTATCTTAGGGGTCTTGCAACCCTCGGATAGCGTGTGAACATTGTACTTTCTAGATGTATGTAAGTGAGCTTGCACTAAAGATGGCCTTATTCAAGGACCTTGGCTGGCCAAGGCTTCTATTTGTCATGTAATCTTGGACAGGTTTGTTATGTTCTCATAAACGTTAGAAATAGACGCTTGTAATTCTTGCAGCTGTTTCTTAGCTTCTGCTACTATGTAATATGTTCTTACATGACTTGCTACATTAGGTAAATGCTCTCTTTGAAGATAGTTCGTATATGAATAGTACAAATTAGAATTTTTATGTTTCTCAGCATGAAATATTTAAGAATTTTTATGTTTCTCAGCATTAAATATGATTCTAAAAATGAAATATGTAAGAACTGAAATTTTAAAGCTAACTAAATATTGAAACATATTTCTTTCATTTCATAGACTTCTTTTGGAAAATCATGAGTTATTTTCTGTTTTTAATAGATAAGAGGAGGATACTTTATTCCACTATTATGATATGATTGTGATATTATTTAGAAAGATAATGATCATATTGGGAAGTTAATTGTTATGGCTTAATTGATCTCCGAGGTAACACTTTGACATGGTTTATTTGTGTGACTAGAATAATAAAATAACTACTGATTGCAATTTTTTTCAATTTTTTTTGTAAACTATTACAAAATGCTAATTTATGATTATTTTTTTTTTGCAGGATTTCATAATTAGAGGTGCGAGGAAATTTCCCCTTTACAGGTAACAGTACTAATTATGTAAGTTTTCAATACCTATACTATAAAGCATTGATCTTTATGATAAACCTTTGATGTTGTATCAGGGTTTACTTTATTGAGGCAAATGCATCATTTTATCTTCTTTCATGATTTACTATTCTTTATATTGATCAAATTTGATGAAGCAAGCAACTTTGTTTTTCTCCCCATCAAATATACATAGGAAAATATGAGATTATGCTGTACCCCAGCCCGTTCGGCATCAGCTTAATGGGCTGAGAATGTTAGGCATATAGAATGGAATTTATTGGTTAAAGAAGGGAGAATATTATAATACACAAATGGTGGTTTATATGCATTAGTAGTCTTTACTCAAAATTTTCATCCTTATAGCGTATAACCTAACATTGGTGTCAAGGCTCTATACTTTTAAAGTAACCTATGAAGCAACAATCATAAAATTCTAGAAATAATCAATATAAATGTGAGAATATTTATCATCAGGCATAATAGGATAATATATTAATAAATAAAATAATCACATTAATAGTAATATACCAAACAATTTACCTTATCATTCCATATTTTAAAGAAGTCTTTCCATAACAAGGGAGGTTACAAACCTTAACGAGTACGAATAACCTACTTATAGCTAATCGAGGGTGGGCAATCATGTGTGTTGATTGTCATCACTATGGTTTCTTCGGACTCCAAGATATGGGGCTCCATCAATGCTACTAAAATTCAATATATTTCACAATTAGGATAAGGGAACCTCCAAACATCAAATATTGAAAACAAAAAGTAATGTTTAAGTATACTCTTCAATTAGGAATTTGCCAAAATTTCTAAAACTAAAAAAATCCATCGCATGGGAAAGATCTCACAATTAAAAATTTTTAAATCCATTATTTAATGATTTTAGTAAAATGTTCTTAAAAATGATAAATTTACATGAAAGTATCAAGATTAGGGAAAAAGTTCTTTTGTCCTATCATTATTAATTTAAGAAATCTAGGATGAATTATATTACTTTGTAATTTCCTTCCAATTTGGGATACTTCGGGATTAATCCAGTTATTTGTCTATTCTGTTTTAAACAATCAACTTTAAGAATGCAATTAATCCTAAAAATATTAATCAACACAATTACAATATAAACTAACAAACTTGCTGCATGCTAAACCTAGGTCAAACATCTTAAAGCTTTTATAGCCATGTTTAGTGGGTCCATTATACTTGCATCTCATGACCATGCTTACCCCACTAACTTTATTTGGTATAGTTATATTGATGTAAGGCTTCTGAATTGTATGAAATAAAACCATCATAATCTCAGATATAAATAAGAGTTGCTCCATAACCTTTTGCGTACAAATTCATTGAGAATGTGCACATGTAAAATGGGAATTTTCAAATAAGCTAAGCAGGAGATACGGATTTTCAAGCACGTCTCTAAAATAAACCAAAATTTGCATGTGCACATTTGTTTACGTAGTAATTTTTTCCTGAACATTGAATATAGTTGTTGCTGAACTTGTGTTGTTCTTGGTTCAAATTAAGTGATAAATTTGACTATCATGGCCTCTGCTTTTCTTACTCAGTTGCTCTTTCACCTATTCAGTGAATTGTTCTCTCTTTGATAATTTTAGAATGGGGAAACTTAAATATTCTTCTCTTTTTATATGTAAATAATTTTTGATGATTTAAGTTGCTTACTCTTTCTTATTAATATTGTCCCAATCTTTTAAGGGAAATTTACATACATATCACTTTATAATATTCTATTTACATATCTAACGCCCAAAACTTTAATATTACATGCATACCACCCTATATTATTTTAATATCAAATATATCACTTATATTTCTTTCCTACCCCTTATATATTTCATTTCTACCACTCATATTTGATATGAGAATGAACTATGGGTGGTATGTATGTAATATTAAAGTTTCAAGTGTTAAATATGTAAATAGAGTAGTATAAAATGGTATTTATGTAAATCTCCTATCTTTTAATTGTGAAACTTGTTTTCTTGATTACTCTGTATTTATAGTCGTGTTGTAGAGGCGACCGATTGTAAGGCAATCGTTGTTCCTGCTTCCGGTAATGATGTGGGACTTACACTAAGGAACCATGATTTATCCTGGAGAGATTTTCTGTCACGTGTTGCGGGTCTTCCCAGGTACAAATTAAATACTCTTTGAAAATACTGTTTATATTCTGAAAAATTTCTACCGTTTTCTGTAACTGTATGTTATAATGTGAACAAGTGATATTGTTCTGTAGCAGTAGGCTTCCCTATGCATTTTCTCAAAGCAAGAGTATTTAACAATTTTGATTGGAAAATATAATTTTTAGAAACGTTGTACTTGGTTTTAAATTTCCATTCTAAAGGATTTCATTTTTGACTACTTTTTCCTGTACTCACATATAGCAATCACCTGGAATAAATTCTTTCACTTGGCGCACATTTATGTTTCGTTTGAGACAGCTTTCTTATTGCTTTTTAAAGCAGATTTTTAGTTAAATTTTTTTAATTTTTGTACTAAAAAGCTGCTTTAAGAAGCAGTAAGAAAGCCGTCCCAAACGAATGGTTAGTTTAAATAGTCACCAGATAATATGACAAAAGCTTCTTTGCAATCCATTTTACTTGTAGGCCATGCGACTATTCCCCTGTTTACCAATCTGCAGATGCTGCGATTAACATACTGTTTTCTTCTGGAACTACTGGTAATCCTGATTTTCACGTGATTTATCACTTCTAGCATTTTTTTTTACTTAAGAAAATGAATTCATTATACATTAACATGCCTCACATCAGGAGAACCCAAAGCTATTCCTTGGACACATATCTCCGCAATTAGGAGTGCAGCAGATGGGTGGGCACACCTGGATATCCAAGCTGGAGATATAGTATGCTGGCCTACTAACTTGGGATGGGTGATGGGTCCAATTTTACTCTACTCATGCTTTTTGAATGGTGCTACACTTGCTCTTTATCATGGGTCACCCCTTGGACGTGGCTTTGGAAAATTTGTTCAGGTAAATGATGACAATGCATATGTAATGATGACACTAAAGTTACTTTAATGATATTGATGTTTTGTAATTCATGATGCATCGACACTTCTCCTCAAAAAGGCATACAGTGTCCGACATGTATCCAACACGACACTTGTCTGACACTCCTCCGACACGTGTCGGACACGCCAAAAACGTGTCCGATTAAAAAAATATTAAATACAAATTGGACACGCGTGTCCGATACGCGTACCTTAAATATTTCATGAATTTTTTTAAAATATAATTTCTTGTATTTTGCGGGATTTAAACTAAATTTCTTATTTTCTATCCGCAATACAAAATCAGCGTCTGCACTTAATACCCAATCATCGAATATTCTCATTTTCATTTCTTTTTGATAGTGAAGGTATTTTCATCTCCTCTCTCGGTGATTGATGAACGTCATGGACGCCTAACTCTCGACATTCTAATACTAATCATTTTAAGCACAAATTCTAGTTAAATGACTTATTATTTCTAAATTATTTTTAAAATTGTACTTATTTAATTTTTATATACTATTTTTAAAATATAAAAACTATAATACCGTGTCCGTGTCCCATATTTTCAATAATTGACATGTCCCGTGTCCGTGTCGTATCGTATCCATGTCGCCGTGTTCATGTTTGTGCATCATAGTTTGTAATAAAGGGTATTTTTTGGTTCAGGATGCTTCTGTGACAATCTTAGGTACGGTACCAAGTCTAGTGAAAACATGGAAGAGTAGCAAGTGCATGGAAGGACTTGACTGGACAAAGATCAGGTAGGTTGGGATTGCTCAGATCTTTGTCCTTTGAACTGTGGAAGCTGAAAGCTGTTTTTTCCATTTTCCTTGAAGGCTATTTGCTTCAACTGGAGAAGCTTCTGATATTGATGATGACATATGGCTTTCTTCTAGAGCCTTTTATAAGCCTGTTATTGAATGTTGTGGTGGGACAGAGCTTTCATCATCTTACATCCAGGGAAGCTTGCTGCAACCCCAAGCCTTTGGAGCATTTAGCACACCCTCAATGACAACTGGTTTTGTCATTTTTGATGAGCAAGGAATTCCTTATGTAACGATCAGTATTTTAGATTATATTGTGTTATGTCATGCATCGCTAAAAGTTTTTTTGGTACTAATTATTCCATGATTCTACACGACAGCGTGATGATGAACCTTGTGCTGGAGAAGTGGGTTTATTTCCTAGATTTATGGGAGCTAGTGACATGCTGCTTAATGCTGATCACAAGAAGGTTTATTTTGATGGTATGCCATCTTACAGAGGAATGGTAAGAATTTCTTATAATTGTTTGTTTGAAATGTATTTCCTAGCAATTTATATTACTTTTTTATGAAACATTTTCCTATTTTAGGAAATAATTAAGCTAGTTAGTTATTTCCTTTATTAGATACTTGTTTAGTGTGTATATATATATAGAAGTAGATGTAGTACCATTTTTTTTATTAAGAATAATAAATTAAGAAATTCTTGGTATCAGAGCTAGTGCTCTAAATCCTAATCTCTTCAGGCCGCCTCTCTCTAGCAAACTCTTTCTGAATGTCTCTTCTCTGTTTCTGAGGCCGATTATCTTTGACCGATTCTCCTAACCAGCATTCGTCCTGACTTTCTTTTTTCATATTTCCAGTAACCTTATTCTTTCTTCTCCCTCATCTTCTTCTTCGCAATACGACTGACCTCATCACAAACATCCGACATCACAACACCAATCAGGAAGTAATTCAAAAATTCCAAACATTGGTGGTAGTGATTCTTCTCCTATTCTTATCACGTGACACAAATTAAATGGACAATAATTATTTGTAGTGGTCACAATCTATGTTGTTGTTCATTTGTAATAACTAATAAGGGAAAGAATGAGAATCTCACGGGAGTAGCAACCATGCTAGAAACTACAAATCTTAGCTTCAAAAAGTGGAAGATTGAAACTAGTGTGGTCATGTCATGGCTTATCAATTTCATGAACAAGGACATGGGTGAAACTTTCTTATTGTTTGCGATTGCAAAATAAATATCGGATGCATCTATTCTAACTCTTAAAATACTTCAGAGTTATTTAGGTTGAATAAGTATTTCATGACTTACGCCAAGAAGAGCAATTTGTTAATCAATATTTCAACACACTCACGTGGTATTGACAATAACTTAACTTAGGCTTCGTTTGAGACAGTTTTCTTGCTACTTTCTAAAACAAAATTTTAATACAAATTTTTGTTTTTTTTTTAATTAGAAAATTTTGTACTAAAAAGCCGTTTTCGAAAGTAATAAAGAAGCTGTCACAAACGAAGCCTTATTCAAAACTCACTCATGGACATGTCCAAAAGATGCAATAATATACAAGCAGATTGTGAAAAAAAAAGGCTGTTCAAGATAGGGAGTTGGATGATGTTCGAGGTCGAATCATGGGCACTAAACCACTGCCCAATCTTAGGGAGGCTTTCTTAGAGGTAAGACATGAAGAAAGTAGAAACAAAGTGGTGATGGGATCTAAGGAACAACCCACATCAACGTTGGATGCATCTGCCTTTGTTGTCCGATTGTTTAACAGTAATGGTGGAGATCGTCAAAAATGGGAAAGAACCTGGTGTGATTATTGTAAGAAATTAGGTTATTACATGGAGACTTGTTGGAAGCTCCATGGCAAACCAGCTGATTGGAAATCAAAGCCACAATTTAATAAAGACAACAAAGCACATGTGGCCTCCAACTCTGAAAGTGATTTTATCTTCGAGCCTAACTCATCTAACAAAGAGCATATTGATTTGTTATCGAACTTGTTTAGTCAAGTTGGCAGTGGTAGTATTATTGGGACATATTTGGTTGCTCAAACAGATTCTTGTATTGTCTATAATATTCCAAAATTTAAATTTGGAAGAATTATCAATTTTTTTAATATCTTAATTGATTTTCCAGTAACTAAATATATATCATTTTAAATAAATCTAGCAAAAAAATTATAAATCATATACATCAAAATATTTATATATTCATTCATTTAAAATGCAATGTACAATAGCTAGGAGATTTCAATAATATCAATTTATTTTTTTAGAACTTTTGACCACAAAAGAATAGAACAAAATATAAAAATAAAAGAAAACTTGAAAACACTGATCAACCTAACTCCTGAGGGTCCCAACCCTTTTTCAGTACTGAAATCAATAAAACCACATAACAAGCTTATAAAGCTCAACAGGTGGCCATAACTTACCACTACCTGCAATGCAAGACAATATTCAATAAGCTTGCTCTAGTCCTAATCAACATGAATCATCAATTAATATGTGTAATAAGAAATTTCTAAGATAAAGAGTAAAATCAATATGATCAGTGAAGTTAAATGAGATCTATCAAAATATAAGAAAATTGATAAGGACTATCAATCAATAAGCCATGTCAGTATGTTATGTTATATTGCATCAATATAAATGCATGTTTTATCAATGCAACATCAGCTCTATCTATTAATTAGTTTGATGCATTATCATGTAAATACAATTATAAGCACAATTATGAAGAGCAAAGTATGACATCTTGTTTTAATGTGGTATTTTTATCATTCCATCTATTATCTATCATATCTATCCATTTGTCAATTTTATTTTATCTTTAATTTAATTCTATTAATTATTTATTTTTATATGTGACTTTCAATAATCATTTAAGAGTTGTCACCATTTACCTGTTAGTATAATTCGGTCAATCGGTTACAGACTCCAAGTAAGATTATACTACCAACCTTTTAGTTAAAGGAAATCACATCGGCCCATCCTCATGTGTTGGATATTATGCTTTAAGAGTCAGCACATATTAATTATAATATTAACAACAAACCTTCCTTGCTTACATGTAAATGCTACATTTTTCTGTGCAATGTAAGTTAATGTCTATAATGGGTAGGTTAGGCAACCATAAACTTGTGGGTGAAATCAATGACACGTTGAATATTTTTGATTGGAGGTAGCTCGTCAAGTAGTTCATTCGAAATTAGATTTAATAACTTAGAAAGGATATTATAGACTACAATAGGTATATGAGTCTCTAAAGGGATGGGGTGACTTTCTTATAATGTAATAAGTGCAGACAAAATTTTTTTCTTAATTTTTTTAAATCTAAGTTTTAAGTATGAATTCTAATAGGAGGTAAGTCATTAGGGAAGGCTTACTGAGCTAAAAGTGAATAAGTGGGGTTGAAGTTTTATTTTTTATTTTATGTGCAGTTACATGTTTAAGATCAAAAGAGATTTTAAGCGGGGGAAGTGCAACTTCTTTCTTTTGTGATTTGATGTGAAGTTTGATGATATTATTATTAACTTTAAAGACATAAGTGTTCTCACAATCATAATAAATCACATTTCTATCATAAAGCCAGGTTCTACCTAATAGGATATGAAGTGGTGTTCTAGCTATGTCTACTGGTAGAACACCACTTCATATCTAATTCTCGTAAATACTCATTTTAATTGAAACCAAGCATCTAAAAGTCACGGGTAGGGAGGTGTGATTAATCCAATTGACATGAAAGAGCTCCGGGGGAGGTTCAAGTTTTAGGATTGTCCAAATAAGGGCACTAGTGGAGATAACATTCATTGCATTCTCATCATCAATAATAACTTTGCAATCTTTTATCTTAAGTGATTATCATTGAAAAGTTTTATGTTGACACCTATCTTTTGAATTTAATTTAGCTACTAAAAGGCATCTCATAACAGTCATGAGCGTATCATCGAACCTTCATTTTCTAAAAGAGGATGATCAACAAAATTTTTTTTCATAATTTTTATAATAAAAACATGGATTACCTAATCACATAAAAAACATAACTTATTTGATGTAGTGGATCGGCGGAAGTCGATACCTGCAAGAAGGATTTGAAAATTCCCAATCCAGGGAAGAAGAAGAAGAAAGCTTTTCAAGCTTCAAAAGGTGTATATATCATTCAATACCTTTCTCCTCTTACACATTCCATATATAATGCCAAAGCAATGAAAACCTAGAGAATCCTAGAAGGTTCTAGAAAACTTATAACAAACTACATAAGCTATTCTAAGGGACACTTTAGACTTAAAATGCTCCGCATCATTCTCCCCTAGCGTAAAAAGGGCTCGACTCCGTCGAGACGCATTATTGAAAACGAGATTGTTGCAGAAGACAGATTCCCGGATCGAAGATTTTGTTCTCATCAATTGCATATTCCTCATAGTCTGTTTGAGCTGATGTTCTTCCACGTAGTATTTCAAAATTCTTAAAGCATGATCCCACAAAACATGCATCTCTTTTTACTGAGGACTTTTGTAGTTGAGATCCAAGTGCTAAGGCATCCCACAGTTGCTTTAATCCACTCAATTTGTATGCGCCAATGACAAAATCATGAATATCCTGGTTAGCGCGAGCACTCCCAACCAGAATAATTGGGCCATCATCTTCACGGCAAAATCCCTCAATTAGCTCATTGCAAGTTAGACCATCAGGATTTTGCTCATTAGCCTCCATTGAACTTACCAGCAAACAAGTATCATCCATAATTATCATGGGGATTGGTCCTCTTAGAAGATTACAACTTAAGTCTAATACAACCAGAGCCTGCATAAGACCAATAACAGAAGGAATGGATCCCGTAAACTTGTTGTTTTGCAATGACAAAGTAGCAACTTGCAAAAATCCTATGTTGAAGGGAATTTCTCCAGAGAATTGATTGTACGAAAGATCCAAAACTTGAAAACTTGTACAGTTTTCTATGCTTTCAGGTATAGTCCCCTTCAAACTGTTGTTCTTCACATCAAAATACCAAAGCCCGGTCAACTGACACATATCAGGAGATAGGCTTCCCTCCAGATTGTTTCCTTGCAATCCCAGGTATTGCAATACTTCATTCCAGTAAATAAGCCTGGGCATCTCCCCGCTCAATCTGTTCTGAGCCAAGTCCAAAAATTTTAAATTTGGAATCTGTGAGAGCGTTGAAGGAATAGAACCAGTCAACTGATTGCTTTTCAAAATCAAGTTTTCCAACTTCTTTAATTTTGATATTGAATAAGGTATATCCCCATTGATATTGTTAAATGCCCGAGCAGAACCACAGCTCGGCGCCGATTTCGACTCCATCGGTGGTCCAAAAGCTACAACCTGTGCAAAAGCTTCGGTTCCAAGATGCTCATTTGATGGGTCCCGTAGCCACTGCATAACAAACTCTTTGTCCTTGCCTCTACCGAGGAGATCATTTCTAGGCAAGGATACAACTTCGCATGCTTTGAACAGCTCGTGCTGCTGCTCTTGCCTTGTGCTTTCTAAGAGATGAAGAATGTGAGCTGTGAATCGATTTCCCTTGACAAAATCAGCACTGAAATCGTCAATAACCAACTGCCCGAAGACAGTGGCGACATTACGTCGAGCATTACGTGAGCATGATGTTGGATCAACCATTTCAGCACCATTTAACCCTGGGATTTCCACACCTGCAGTAAAATCATTCCTAATAAAAGGAATATAGATGGCATTCAGTTCACTATTCCCATTTCTATGATCTGAATTTTTCGCCATTGCTGTGGCTTCTTCACGATCAAATGGCTGTCTCCTTGTGTTGAATGGCGTCACCCCTGCAGGAGCTGATGTAGGAACTGATATAGGTGTATTGCTCTCTTTCATCGCCATCACAAAAGAGACATAGGATTTCTTGTGCTCTTGTTCCTTTGAAAAACCCGGAACAGTTAGTACAGCATGAAAGTCATCTGGAACTTCTTTACTCACCTCCTCTACCGGGTCTTCATCTTCAACAGTTGAAGCTTCCACAGGTTCTGACGTATCATACGCTACCTCATCAATCACGACATCTTCTTCTGGTCTTGCGGCAGTTTGCTCAACATCAAATTCTTCCTGTGAAGGGATGGAGTCTATCTCCGTGATCTGAGCGTGAAATGAAAGGGCGGCAAGATAGGACTCAGGGCGTGAGAGATCGGACTCAACACCTCTGTCGCTCAGCTTCACGTCGGGTTCACCATCTCTGTCGGAATCGCTATCTGGAGCGAGCTCGCCAGACAGGCGCTGCCAAGGAGCGGAGTCTCCCAAGACCGGCGCTGGGGGTGCGGGGAGCTGGTCGGCGGGGGTCGGGTCGGCTGCTGTCGGCGGCGATGGAGCGGCGGCTGTGGGATGGGGCTCCGTCGGAGCGGGCGGTGATGGAGGATCTGGTCCGACCATTAACGGCAGGAGAGTCTCGCCGACAGGTCGAAGGCTGCAGGAGGTCGCCACGAAGGACTCTGGGAGTTTTGAAATGGATCGTTCGCCGAGCTGGGCCTTTCTCGGGCTATTATGCAGAAGCTCCACAGCCTGAGATAGGTTCCTCGCAGGGCTCTCAGATCGAGATCGCGGTGACTGTGTTGAGCCGATACTCACCTGGGGAGCTCGAGCGGAGGGTAATCATCAGCGATCGTGGGAGTATGGCGGGACGGATGGCGTCTGCGCGAGGGGATGGAAGAAGAAGAATGTCTCGGTATGGTTGCCGACGACATCCTCATCCTCCTTATTGACCGAAGGGTTTCGCGAATCCGATCAAGGTTTCTATCTACCTGATCGAGCGACTTCTTCGATTGAGCTTGATAGAAGGCGATCCGGCTTCGAGCATCGTCGACAGCCCACCTTCCTTGGCGTCGATCATCGTCGACCGCCAATTTTGTTTTGCGGCTTCGATCGTCGTCGACAGCCGACCTTCTGCAATACATCGATCTTCTCAAGCTCCAGGCTCTGATACCAACTGATGTAGTGGATCGGCGGAAGTCGATACCTGCAAGAAGGATTTGAAAATTCCCAATCCAGGGAAGAAGAAGAAGAAAGCTTTTCAAGCTTCAAAAGGTGTATATATCATTCAATACCTTTCTCCTCTTACACATTCCATATATAATGCCAAAGCAATGAAAACCTAGAGAATCCTAGAAGGTTCTAGAAAACTTATAACAAACTACATAAGCTATTCTAAGGGACACTTTAGACTTAAAATGCTCCGCATCATTATTATAGTCAAAATTCATTCTTGACATATCAATATCAGATATATGAAGGTTTAAATATTATAAATGTAATGCTTTGCTGGTAGATCCTCCGAAGACATGGAGACAAAATTCAGAGAACAGTAGGCGGATATTATATTGTACTCGGCAGGGTCGATGATACCATGAACCTTGGAGGTATCAAGGTAAAGATAGCAACTGACAACGCAGTTGTTTCTTTTCATTCAGCTTTTATTATTTGTAATATCTTTGTATTCATCAATCATATTATGTATCTTGTCTTGAAGACAAGTGCAGTTGAGATTGAAAGGGTATGCAATAGGGCTGAAGAAAGTGTGTTGGAGACAGCTGCGGTTAGCTTTCGGTCCAGAGACGGTGGACCTGAGCAGTTGGTTCTGTTTGCAGTGCTAAAACCTGGAACGACAAAAGAAGAATCCAGTTTGAGGGCCAAATTTCAGAGAGCAATTCAGAAGGAACTAAACCCTTTGTTCAAGGTATCAAATATTTTCGTGAAATACTTAAGAGCCTGGTTGGGTTCTTCTTCTTCTTCTTTTTTTTTGGAAAAATATATTTGTTTGTTGTTTGAAGTGGATGAATGCATCGGGCTTGTTATGCAATAGAAAAGTCCCCCTCAAACTTAAGGGAAAATTTTATAAGATGGTGGTAAGACCTGCAATGCTTTATGGTGCTGAATGTTGGCCCTTAAAAGAGAAGCATAATACTAAGTTAAGTGTTGCAAAGATGAGGATGCTTAGGTGGATGAGTGGATTTACCCTTAGAGATAGGATACGAAATGAGCATATACGTGAAATGGTTGGAGTAGCTCCAGTGGAAGATAAGATTAGAGAGAGTCGCCTTAGATGAATTGGTCACATTAAACAGAGGCCTTCTGATGACCCTGTTAGGAAAGTTGAAGTATTAGATTTGAGTTACGTTAAGAAAGATAGAGGTAGACTTTAAAAGGCTTGGTTAGAAAATATTAGAAAATGAATTTTCTATATTAGATTTAAATGAGAATTTGACTTTTAATAAGTCACAATGGTGAAAAAGGATTTATGTAGCTGCCCCACGTAGTGGGACGAAGGCTTGATGTTGTTGTTGTTGTTGTTGATGTATTTTTAACTATTTTTATTTTATTTTTTCTTAACGTAAATGAAATTATTTAAAAAAACACTCAAAAAATAATTTTGAGGTGTTTTTAAAAATAATTATTACTAGGGGCTGCTGCTGCCCACACCACCTCCACCATCATCATTTTGCCCGTCATTGTTATTGGCATATTGGCAAATACCCTCTACTGTTTTAATCAACTTATTTAGTGTTCAATAAACATAAAAATATATTTTTATTATATAAAATAAATTTAAAAATAAAAACAAAATAAAAAATATACGCAGAAAATGTTCTCAAACGACCTCTTATGTTTCATTTGGGATGACTTTTTTATTGCTTCTTAAAGCAGCTTTCTAGCATAAAAATTAAAATTTTTGTACTAGAAAGCTGCTTTAAGATGCGGTTATAAAACCATCCGAAACGAAGCCTTCTCAGCTTCCTCCTTGAAACTTTAAAATTGCATCCGAAATGCCAAATGCCATTGGCCATCATCCATTTCTAGCTCTGTAAATACAGGTAGAAGGCTAGAATAGCTCATGAGATACTTCCAATCTAACTGTTTGTAGTATGGTAACAAACTGGGGATCTGTAATATTTTTCCTGACTTTCCAGTTCTTTCATCCTCTTATCTGCTGAACAGGTAAACCTGGTTAAAGTCGTTCCGGAGTTTCCACGGACTGCTTCTAACAAGCTGCTACGACGAGTTCTAAGGGATGAACTGAGCAAGGCTTCAACCCTCAGCAAACTGTAAGAAACTTCGAAATATCTTGTTTGGTCGAATGCCAATGTAACTATTAGCATTGTGAGCCGTCTTCAATAGGAGAGATTATTCTGTGGGGACATCGAACGTAACTTTACATCCGGATACCAATTAGAATGAGTCACGTCAGCAATACCGAGCCGCGGTACTGAACAGTACTGAGCCGTGGGCTTAGATATTCGGAAGGGATTCGGCTTCTGCATAGAATAATTTTTCCTTCAATAGTGTGGTAATGTTTGGTGTACTTCTAGAAGCTGTTTAGTTGTCCAAAAACATATTACATATGCCTTGGGCAAGTTTGCAGTGTAAGGTTTCGTTTGAGACTGCTTTTTTATTGCTTCTTAAAAATGAAGTTTTAATATAAATATTAAAATTTTAGTACTAAAACTCTGTTTTGAGAAGCAATAAAAGAGTTGTCTTAAATGAAGCCTAAATCTTTTTCAAATTCAGTTCATATTGGAAATGAAGGAGGAATTAAGTATGAAGGGGAGTGTTTTGTATTTGTTTTTTTAATCATAGCGCACGAAATGTATGTGGATTTTGTTTACAGATATTTCTAAATTATTGTAATATAGAGATGTTTCCATGGATCAAAACAGTATGCAACTACAACAAACAAGCCTTTAACTCATTACGGAGGTTGATTATCTGGAATTTTTTTTTTTGTTCTATTAAGAGTCAAATTCTTATTTAATTTTATAAAAAAATAATTCATTTTAATGCGTTCTAATCGATTTTTTTAGGTCTATTTCAACCTTTTTAATCCATCTATTGTCCTAGCAAGGTTATTAAAAGGATGATATTTTATGTGACCAAGCAATCACGATGACTCTCTCTAATTTTATTTGCCACTGGAGCTACTATTTATTTTGTATTCTATTTTTAAGCGTAAATCACTCATTCATCTGAGCATTTTCATCGCTGGAATATGTAATTTAATTTTACTCTTAATCTTTAATGGCTAATATTTTACATTATAAAATGTTGTAGGTTTTACCATCTAAACTTTGTATGCATTGGTGCAATTTTAAAATACATGAAATGTGCTTAAGAAGCACATACAAAAATTCTAAATTTCTAATATAATTTTCATTGCTAGATATTTTGAGAATTTTTCGTATATATTTATGAATGTGAAATATCTGAAACATTCATAAAAAAGTATTTTTATATTTTTGAAATTTTGAAAAATGCTTGAAAATGAAACTATATGCATAGAATGAATTGGCAAAATTCCGTAATTAATGCACTAATTTTCATAATTTATTTAATTAAATAATGGATTATAGACATTGAGTGGCAATTGGCGGGGTGATGGAAGCGGCTAGCGAGTTTCATTTTATTGTGGGTGGTGGAGATCAGCGCGTGCAAAGGCTTGTGAAAGATGATAGTGGCGGCGAGAGATTATTGATGGGATGACGATGATGCAAGATGATAATAATAACTGATAATTTATAGCATACTTAAAATTAAGTTAAATCCAAAAATTTTAAATACATTAAATTAAATTACAAAATAAAATTTTTAAAAATTTAAAATTCTGCTCTTCATTAACCTTCAAAGTTCAAACCAATTATTGGGCCAAGTATGCGACAGATCCGAATCCGATAGCCAAACTATAAATGGCGGTGCTCGCTGTTCTGCAATTTACAGCCGCTCGGACCTTTTTTTTTTTTTTTTGCGCGGTGAATCTCGCTCGTCCTCAACCTCACATATCGCTAACGTCCAAGCTCTCGCTCTTCGTCGCTCATTTGCCATATTTTATTTCTTCCTTATTTCCCTCGGTTCTCCGTTCTTCGAGCATCGAACGCTTCCCACTTCTCCCAATACACACACGGAGAGAGAGAGAGAGAGAGAGAGAGAGAGAGAGAGAGAGAGTTGAAGATCTAGGGTTACGGTCTTCTGGTCCGATTTCTGATTCTTGCTTCGTGGCTGCTGTGAAGGAAGATGAGCGAAAATCCTATGCCGGGGAGTTCCCATGGGAATCTGGACGAGCAGATTGCACAGCTGATGCAGTGCAAGCCACTCTCCGAACAAGAGGTTCTTTTCGAATCGATCTTACGTGTTTTATCTTCTACTGTGAGCCTTTTTTTGGGTTTTAATTTTTGTTGGATTGGTAAATTTTTTTCCGCGGTGACCGATCGCGGGTGGTGAGCATGTATTCTGATAGGGATTGCAGTTTCTTCTGTTGATGCGGGCGAATTTCTGGTTTCGGGAAGTTAGGGCTTGTGATTAGAGGGTTTGGTTTGGTGAGCATGTTGAGTTTTGCAGCTTGTTTGGGGTTCTTTTTATTATTTCGCTTAATCAGGGATAAAATCCTATTCGTTTCCTGCACACAGGATACTATAGCTTAATTTATCAGATCTGCTGCCTCGCTGGTTTATTTGTTGCTCATTGGTATAGAGTTAGATTGGATATTTGAACCTGTTTTTAGTTATACGTGATTGTTGGAGCACGAGTAAGAAGGTCAGGAACTCCTCTTCAGCATTGGAATAATCATTTGATTCAAATTGGTCGTTTGGTGTAAAAAAGTTAACAGCTTCATTTATAAAAAGCATTGTGGCATTTAAAAGTTGCACGAGGATGTAAATCAGAACAGATTTCACCATCGAGTGCTTTCTGGACACTTATTTTAATTTGCTTTTTTATTTTCTTTGAAACCCAAATGACTTGAGGCTGTTTGGTTGCCCGAAAAAAGAATGCAATGTAAAATGAATGTAGTATTAAAGAAATACTTTGGAGTTGTTTGGATAATTGTAAAAGGAATGCATGACTTTTTTTTTTTGTCGGTTTGAAAGAAAGTGGATGCAATGTAAAGTGTAAAAAGGTTGTGGTTGGGGTGGCCCGCGGTGATCGCATGGCGGCGGAGGTGGCCAATAGGCGATGGCAATGGTTGTGAGTTTGCGCTATATTTGGAAATCACCCAAATCGGAGGAATTTCAAATGCACCAAAAATGAACTAGCTAGTGTATTCCAGATGAACTGAAATTTTACTTTGCATTTCTTTTACTTCAAACCAAACATCAATATTTCTGAAACCCCCGCATTTGGAATACTTTTCACTCTCTTTGTACCAAGCCAAACAACCCTTTAAGAGTTTGATGTAAGTTGGTTTTGAAATGCTGATATTATGACGGCATCAAATGTCGATGTTATGATTGCAACGGACATTTTTGTGAAACCTTAACTGTAACTTGCTGAATAGAAATGAAAATGAGAATGTTCGGGGAATGAGATATAGAGTGCGGGCGATTGATTTGGGGATATGGAGATGAAATAAGAAATTTAGTTTTATTTTTTTAATAAAAAATTAAAATAAATAAATTATATATATTTTTGATATAATGTTTAATACATGTTGTACAAAATTTTTACACTATTTTTTTAATCGGTATGTCTTCGATATGTTTGTCATGTATCAAATGCATGTTCTGTCCAATACGTGTCGGACACGACATGCCTTTTTGAGAAGTGTTGGTGCATCATAGCCCGAATCTAATGGCTCACACAATCACCAAGTTTGATTATCATTTGGATAACTAAATAATCATAAGCATAAACAATCTTGAAAATGAGTTGTAAAAAGAGTTATATATATATATATGGAGATATTGTAAGAAGACTTATATTGGGTTTAACCAACTCATTCAACATTAAACAAGAATAAACAAAGATTGATGATTCATAAGCTAACCCTAAATAGTTGGGATAACTCTATTAATGATAATGATCACCATCATTTAACTTGTCTTTACGTACTTAATGAAAGTGGGAAATTTGATTTATTTATAAAGATTTTGGCTAGTCAAAGATGTTCAAGGGATTGTGTTTTTATAGGTGTTTTACTTGTCTAGTTTGATTTGGGGGTTTTTAGTTTGATAATAACCGAGTATAAAGTATTCAAAATGCAGGCTTTTTAAGATTTTTGGTGTTTGGTTTTGATGGAAAAGGAATGCAGAGTAAAATTTTGAAGAATTTTAACTTCATTTAGTAATTTATTTTTTATGTATTCACAATTTGCCCCTCTTTTGTTGAATTTCAAATACATCGCAAGCTGAATCCGCTGTCATTGCTAGCCACCACCCATTATCTGCAACCATCAGATGCAGTTGTTGGCTATTGCCCTTGTCGCTAACTGTCCCCCCCCCGCCACCATCACATTCGACCACCTCTATCGTTGTCATTTGTACCGCATTCATTTTACTTCAAACAAAACAAAAAGTAATCACTTGCATTTGTTTTACACCATTATCCAAACAACTTTTAAAATTCAAATATATTGCATTCCTTTTCTATTGTATTTATTTTACTTTGTAATCTTTTTTAGCAAAACAAATAGCCCCTTGGTGACAAAAAATCATTTGGAAAGAAAGCAGAGAGATATAAAAGATTTTTATGATATAAAATTTGGATTTAGAGATCTATATCATGAATGCTATTCTAGAAGGTGTAGATAGTTATGCTACAAATCAAAAGAAGATATGCCAACCCTTTTTTCTAGTTTATTAGAAAGGTTATTGAATTGTTTTTACACTCCAATTATTTTCTTTTTTTATTACTTTTGATTTATTATGATTTTGTGGTATGCATGTTGATGTGAGTTTTTTCATTCTAGTCCAATTAGGTTTTATGACAATTGTACTAAATGTTTTGTGGTCCTAATGATATAATGTCTAGATATTGGAGTTTTTGCCTCGTCTGGTAGACTTTTGGCATAATGCAGATAGTTTTGTGCCATGCTAGTTTTTGCATGCAATAGATGAATTTGTTCACATTTTCTTTTTGTTTTCCTAGCCATGCCAGGTTTTTGTAGCACATAGATCGAACATTTGACTTTTAACCGGACACAATGGCGAAAAAGGATTCATGTAGCCGACCCCACGTAGTGGGACAAAGGCTTGATGTTGTTGTTGATAGATCAAACATTGTGTTTGATACTTCCACTGGGTGCAATTTAATTTGATTTCTTATTTAACATTTAGGTAACATTGTCTATTTAGAAGTTATTTGGCAAATAAGCAAACATAAATGATTGAAGTAGTTAGGTGTTCTAAGTTTTTTTTCCTGCTTGTAGAATAAGTGCATTTACAAAATGCTTAAAGCACATAAGAAGTATTTTGTTGTTTGATAAATACAATTGTTACAAGTAGCTCTTAAGGCTCAAATGGATGAAGGCCAGTGTATTTAAAAGTAGCTCTCAAGGAAAAGTGTAGGCATGCATTTTACTTATACATGTTTATTTTCAAGGTGCTTAAAAGTTTATTTAAAAAGTAGGTTTGGGAAACTTTTGAAAATTAGTACAAAAGTTCTATGAAGTATGAACAGATTTTATAGAACCACTTTCCTGAGCAAAATAATTCCAAAAAATTCTTAAAAGTGTAATACCTACTTTTGCATTTATTCTTATTTATAGGCAACTCCTTAATATAGCTCATACTATTTGACAAATTATAGTTTGCTATTTTTTCTATTTCCTTTTTACTATTTCTTTGCAGGTCAGAGTATTGTGTGACAAAGCAAAGGAGATTTTGATGGAAGAAAGCAATGTCCAGGTAAGACTATGTTTATTGTATGTGTACATTTACTTGCAGTCCTTTAGATGTTTTTTCCTGGTAAACAAATAGTATCTGTTCTTTTTATTTTCCTTTGAGGTAGTTTTTGTTCTGTCTTTCATAATTGTAGTTTCGTTTTTTTGGCTGGTAACATAGGTTTGATGCATGTGTTCTTATTATGACATCATGGAACTCACGTATTCATGGAATCAAAGCTGAAGTTTGCGTGAAGGTTGCATTTGCAAATTCATCTTCATTAGTCTTTTTTTTGTGTTGTACAAATGTCATGCATCTATTTTCTAGTATTTTACTATTTTCCTATTATTATGCATAAGAGTTGTTACAGCTCAATCATTGATATAGTTCTTTGAATTTACCTTTATTTGTTGAAAAAAGTGATAGTTCGTATATCCAAAATTTGCTTCTAAAATTCGTTGCTGTGATGTAAACCTTTGAATTGGCATATTTATTCACAATTCTTAATGCAAGACAGTGAGGGTGGGTATAATAGATCTAAAATGAATATGAAGAATAAGTGAGAGAGTAAATTGTCATGAGGGAAGAGGTGGTTCAAAAAGTCCTGCAGAAGGTTGAATTAACGCATTATGTTACTGTCAACAATAAGAAATGAAGAAGGAAGGTTTTTAAAGCCAATCCCAAATAATTAGTTACTAGTGTAAGGATGATGCTGATCTACATTTTTTTATTCAGCTTTAAGATTCATTTGCCTTAGAGCTATGTGACCCCTTGTCAAGCATTACCTTTTCCGAACTGATTAATAATGCAGCGGAAAGTCTGGATTCTAGGATTTGATTTCACGGTTTGAAGTTTTAGAGACACATGAAACTTGGAATTGCTTAGCCAGAAAAAAAGTTCAGGGATTCTCAATTCTGTAATGCATGCTAAATTGTTATTTGTTCTTGCTAGAATGAATGAATTTTCCATGACGATTATAATTGGAATGCTTACACAGAATTTTCTTGTTTTGAAGTTTTCATTAAAACTTTTTTGGGCATGAACTTAAAATGTTTTTTGTTTTTCTCCTGCCTTTGCATTCTTTTGATATTCTTCTTAGCTTTATTGATATTATTGTACTGGGACTTGTGCTTTGTCACTCATTAGGCATGCAATTTCTATATTTGTGTGTTTTTGTACGAGATTTTGTTCAGGGATGCAATTGAATCAATGCTGTCATATTGCTGTGCATATTAGTCTTTCTGTTTTCCATTTATGCTTTTGGTTTATCTGATATCTTCAATGCTAATGATCATGATTGAGCCCTGTTTACATGTTGTGCAAAATATATATGCACAGCTTTTTCGGGTGTTTGCACTTCATTTTATTCACTTTGAAAGTTACTGCAATAGTTCTGTTTTGCAGTGGTGGGAACTGTTTGAACATGTAAAGTTTTATATTATATATATGATCAGACAGTTTAACTTTACTATGTTAAACACAGTTCATTTTTTCCATAGTGTGTGGTGTCATTTTTTGTTCCTTACCTGTAAGTATTATTTGTTTCAAAGTTAAATATGAAGGCTCAAATTTATTTGTTGAAAGCAGTAGTCTATTTTATGTCTAAGAGTAGTTTTTTTTTTTTCCTTTTTGTTGGGTGAAATTAAATTGATTTTAAGTCCTAACTTTGGGTCTAGATTTTTTTAATACATTTTTGTAGGTGGGATTAGATTCCAGGACCTTTGAATAACTTTCAAAGGTCACCACCAGCTGAATTAGCTTGTGCTCCCAACTCATTTAATTGATTTATTGTTTAGTTTTTGAATAGATGCAATCATGATACTCTATATTCTTTGTTGTCTAATTGTCTAAGTTATTTTGTGCATATTTTAGCAGAAACGTACTTTAAGGGTTTGTTTGGGTGGTTATAACTTTTTTTGTAAAGGTGGTTGCAAAGCTATTGTGGAGAAAATGATTTTCTTGAAAGCTACTATGGCCAATTGGTCTTTGTAATTTTTTTTTTTCGAAAAGAATTGAACATAAACTTTCTTATAGCTATCATACTCTAGTAGATTTGGTTGTAAAAAACAACTTGCCACCATAAAAATTCCTAGAAGTATTAGCCAAATAAAAGTGTGATAGTGGTCTGAAAAATAAATCTATGAAAAAGCTGCCCCAAACTGACCTTAGGTTACTCTGAGACTATGATGATCCATAGGTTGGATTCCATGTTGTCGGTGTCACCTTACAGTAGGTTTTAAAGTATGATTCAAATGATTTGCATACTACATGATCCATGGCAGCTTATTGCAATTTGTTGTTGTTTAAATAGATTGCTTGATCTGACAATGGTCTCTCTCTCTTTTATATCAGGGTGGAGTTTAGTGTTCTGTCTTGTCTGAAACATTGTATTGGGTGTTTGAGGAGCTTGGACAGCTAGCTATTGTTTGTTTGGATGCATATTACTTTGAAATTCTTGCATTATATCAGTATACCATGATTTGTGAATTATTTGGAAATACGTTAGGTTGTTTGATTTTGGTGGTTGTGGTGTTGAAGCTGGCATTTTTTTAACATTTTGTAGTATTGGGTGTTCTGCACAGATTTTTAACACCTTTTGTATTTATAACATTTATTTTGTTGCATGCTTCTTATTTTATCTAATTTAATTGCGAAAATGATAATGGTTATTGACTTCTCAAATTTGTCAATGCTTCTATAAATTATTCTTGGGATGCTGCAACATACTCTCAGTGAATGATATGTTTGTGATTGGAAAGAATTTATTTATATGTGTACTGTGTCTATTCATGGATATGTTTTGTTTATCATTATTATTCTTTCTATAATGGCAGCCAGTGAAAAGCCCTGTGACAATTTGTGGTGACATTCATGGACAGTTTCATGATCTTGCTGAATTGTTTCGTATTGGTGGAAAGGTATTTCTTTTTCAAACAACATGATCTTAAGAATATTTTATATATGCTATCGATTGAAACTTGATTCTGTTTTAGGATGTAATGTGTGAATTTATTTTTTGTAAATTCTTAAATCTATGGATTTCTGTCATTTTTATTAATGAAAATCCTATCTGATATTTAGTGTCCAGATACAAATTACTTATTCATGGGAGATTATGTTGATCGTGGGTATTACTCTGTTGAAACCGTCACAGTAAGAAGTTTCACATCTGTTCTGTTTTCCTTGAATAAATATTTTCTAATGATTTGTGATTTGTATTATATTCAAAATTGTTTGACCATCACACTTCCACCTTAAAAGCAACTAAAAAGAAAAAAAGACATCATTTTTTCATTTCCTAGCTATTTAGTCTTGGCTGGCTGACTTATATGACTATTTTTCTATTTGGATTTTGAGGCCGTACTGGTATATTATGGACCCTTACCATTTTCATGACATATGTTCTCTATTTCACAGCTCCTTGTTGCCCTTAAAGTGCGATACTCTCAGAGAATCACCATCCTCAGGGGAAACCACGAAAGTCGGCAGGTATACTGATCTAGCTATTAATGGAGTTTCCCATTTTTTGTTATGAATATGGCAAGATAGTCATTTCATTATAGAACTTATAATCCTTTTGATGATGAAATATTCCTCTCATTGTAATGAAAAAGCATTTCTGAAATTGCAGATTACACAAGTTTATGGATTTTATGATGAATGCTTAAGAAAGTGAGTTTCAATCATCTCAAAATCTCTATGTTTTAATTTGTTTCAATTTTTAATCTTGTAGCATATGCTAAGCAACAATGCCTTGATTAAAGTTGAGAGTGTGAAACTTTGATTCTGTGTTTTTTTCTTTTTCTAGTGGGCTTGGTACTGAATTTCTCTCTAATTCTTTCTCAGGGTGTGGTTCATTTTCCAGTTTGAAAGGAACTGTGATGGTTGTTATATTACCGTGCTCTTTTTTCCTTAAATTTTAGTATATTAACTTCCTTTTTTTTTCTACTGGGTACCTTCTTGCCATCAATTTCCCTTATTTCTGATTTAAATATATGAAGTAGTTGTTGTGGTTTCACCAGAATGTTTTCCGATGATCTGGCTTTCCTCGCATCCAATTGGTTTCTATATTAATTGCTTAATGGGTAGTAGCTGCAAAAACCATTTTCTTTTAATCTGCTTTGTGTCTAGAACTGATAGGTGATTCATGGAGGATGACGACTTAAATCTTTTAATTTGATTTTTATGATTGTATAGTCCATTGTATTTATTTGCTTCTATGTTCTTTCGTGAATAGTGTTTTGTTAAAATTGACCTAGATTCATTTGTTGGTTCTTTGGACTTTAAATATTTCTGTAGCGTTTTTTCTTGAGTGTTAAAAGCCATTGAGCAAAAACAATCGCTTAAAGGGCTGTGAAGAAATCCTATTTTTTTTACTTGATTCCAATGTCTGTAGGTATTGGAATGGTAGTTTTTTCCATAATCATTACCCTACATTTTAATCTACTTATTTTTATGAAATCACCTTCTTTTGGAGCTTCTATGTATTAAATGCTAAATTTTTTATTTAAATCCTGATCCAAACTTACAGGTTCAGAACTAGTAGTTTGCATTCTTGCTTTTGATACATCCTAATCTATTTCTTATGTATACTTTCCTTAATCGTTGTTGTTATTTTTTTATTTGTAGCTCTGGCAGGTCATGTCTTCACTTATTTGAACTGCAATGTATTATTTCTATTAGAAATGTGATTGTATCAACCATTTGTTGACTTTCTTTATGCGTTGTTTTAGGCTGATGGTCATGAGAAACAACTGAATTCAAAATTGTAACTATGTGTTTTGCTATCAAGCGCAAAAAGAAAAAGTTGTCATTTATTATAGAATAATCTTTATCTAGAGAGGGAGGAAAAGAAGTAGCAGGTTGAAGAGTTTCAAGAGTTGGTATCTTTATACAAAATTAAACAGCAGTCTTAGATATGATTGAGCCCGAAAATCAGATTGATAAACTATTTTTTAATATGAAAAGGTTTAAATTAGTGATAACTAGCAAGTTTATGGCGATCTGAAGTTAAAAAAAAATTTCCGTAATAAAATTGAAAAGTTTAACTGGTTAAGATTGATCATAAAACTGATGATGATTCTTGTCAAGCTAAGGCAAACTTGCAATATGAAGGTTGATCAATCATAACTTTGGGAGTGTTTACCATACGATTTTTATGGATAGTGAACTTTTTAATGGATTAATGGAGAGAATGCAGTCATAAAAAGTTATTTAAATAGGCAAGTCATTATTTTTTGGGTCAATATGAGCTCGACTCTGAAACTTCACCGATTTTTTTGAGTTACTTACTATGTCCTTAACCCCGACCCGAATATTATTTTGGTTGTCCTAAAGCTGAATTTTTTTTTTCTTGTCCAATATTGACACCCCTACGGTTAGAGTATTATCTGGCAAGACATTAAGTCTTTCACTTGAATCATGTACATTTTTTTTGTTATGAAGTATGAACACGCCAAAATGTCTCATGTATTCATGTAGAATACTTTTTGGTCATTAACATGGCTTTCACACGACGCACTCAAAATGTGTTGGACGTGTTTCAACTCCAAATTAGGGTCAGACATGGGGAAGACAGGCGGCATATTTGTAATACACATTTTAGGGTTTTTTTAATCAAACCTTGGTCCAATTGCCAACAATTAAAACTATTCACACTTGTCCCATACTCCTTTCTCAACTTCCCATCCATTTATTCGATTCACCATCTTTCAAGTTCAATAGTTCGCATATATGTCTTGGAGTCGATGATCTTTTCAATCATCTTGGTTTCATAGTTTAACCTTTGTTGATCATCCTTGTTGAATATCTTTGCATCAGGGCAAGCTCCTCTTCGTTGATTCTTTTTGTGTGAATATTTTGAAATAGTTTTGAGTCTGTTTTTTTTTGCAGATGCTTCACATGCATCCAAAATTTTTGCAGTGGTGCAACCTAGCATCTCAACCATTTTCTTTGCAGCAACTTTATGGGCACGCATCCTCATGACCCTAGCTCTCTTTGACATCTATCCCATAACCAGTACAACTCTTGAGATGCTTGGTTCCCACTTGTAGCCCTAGCATCCATATTTTCCATCTCTTTTTACTGGTATTCTAGCCACTAATGGCTCTAAGCATTTAGTTTTATTCTGGCCATAATTTTTTTCTTACTTGATTTTTTTTTTCCTGTCAAACTAAAATTTACTATATTGTGGAGCTTCTTATGCTTGTTTGTGTTCTTTGGTTGTTGGCTTTGATGTATAATGGTTAAGGGCTATTGTTAATGCCAATGGCAAAAACATTTTTTTTATCATTAATGATTTTAGTTTTTCTTTGTTATTGTTAAACTTCTCATTTTAAATATTTGATATCATACTTTATTGTGTTAGACATTTAGAAGAAAATATGAAGGTTGTGAAAATTGAATCGAACATAGAATGAAGAAGACGTTCAATATTTAATGTTCAATAGTTCGACCGGGGTTAAATTAGGTTGAACTGGATAATGTAATAAACGTTAAAATTATTTAAATAACATTTAAATGACATAATAATAATATAAATTTATAACTAATAAATAAATGAAATTCATACGCAGATAATATATTCTAAAATTTTTAATTTGAACATATTCAATCATTAATTTTAATTCACATATAATATTGATTTGTCATAAAATTTGGCTTGATTGGGCATGAATCTCGAGGCATATTTGATTTGGAACCTTTCAAAATTAAATTCGGGACCATCTGAACCCAATCTTAACAAAGTTATAGTTAAATTGAATGTTTTGATGAAACAAATGAAATAACACAAAGATCTGTCAAATTCGAGCTCAAATGAGCCCAAATCAAGGGCTTAAAGCATATGTGGAAGCTTCAAGACATTATTTGGATGACAAATGATATCCAAATATAGCATGCTTATGGTCTAATTGAGTGGCTTGATGAGACGATTCTAACGAGCCCAAGATCGATTAATTCTAACACCATTTAGGAAGATAAAAGTTGAACAAATACTTCATGATTGAGAGAATCAATATGGGCCGTCTGCTAGAACACTTCAAATTTATTCCAAATCTATTCCATATTTACGGGGTATGCCACTCTCAAAATATATAAATAGACTCTCACTCTCTACATGTGGGGGACTTTTTAGAGGAGGTTAGGACCTTCTTCTAGAGATTCAAGAGAGCTATAGGCATGAATCTCGGAGCACCACTATCGGGAACCCTCACCACCTGGCCACCATCATCGGACTTTCATTGGCCGATCGTCGCTGAACATCCACCCTATCGTCGCCACCAAAAATCCGCCTGACCATCTCCGTTAGACCTCTGTTTGGCCACTATTGTCGAGTCTACGTAGCCCGATCACGGTCCTTCCGACCTCAGTTGTCCGCCGATTATGATCCTCATATCACAGTCGCTCGACTATGGTTCTTTCGACCTCCATCGCCCGTCGACTATGGTACCTCGAACCACCTCACCTGACGATGACCCTCAGACCACCATCACCCTATCACGGTCCCTCTAATCTCCATCGCTCGACAATGGTTCCTCCGACTTCTATTGGCTGACTAATGTCCCTCTAACCTACGTCGCTTGTCAACTACAGTCCTTCTTGCTTCCGTTGCTCACCGACTATCATCCCTCTTATCTTAATTGCCCTACTATGGTCCTTGACTTGCATTATCCGACTATGATCCTACTTTAATGAACAGACCAACATTCTCTTGAGAACAACCTCTCATGTCATTAGATTCTTCCCACTCTAATCATATAATTTGCTCTATACAATATATATTTGCTAAATTGAGTCGACGCCTTCTCTCGAAGAAGGACATCATTTGTAATCAACAACAAACACTAGTGAAATCATTTTAATTAGTTATGCCTCATATTTTTTCTCTTCCCTGGGTTTTTTATGTAAAAAATTTGATGTCTATTATGATTGTTGCACCCTTTTCTCATTTTGTATTTGTATATTGGATCTTCGTATAAAGATAGGACGTTAAACTCTTTATTTCTCTACCGCCATAAATATTCTGACGCACAACAAATATAAATTTTGTTTATATATAAGTTTATAAATTTAATATAAATGATTACTAATTTATATTATATGCTTATATATAATTTATATCTATAGATTATATACAGAATTTATATTATAAAATCACATCTATAAATATATGTTAGATCATTTATTATTAAAAAATTGATAAAAATTTAGTTTTTTTATATTGTATAATTAAATAAATAAAAATTAAATATTATTAATTAAAAAATATTTAAAAGTATGTAGTGTATGAATGTATGTTTTCTCAACTTAAGAACTTCATCCTAGTTATTTAGTTCAACTTCAGTTGGACACAGTCTTTTTTTTTGTTTATATGAGTAAGGAAGGCACATGGGATGTTGGGCTATGTAAAAATACTTAGTTGGTGCTAGTGTGACAAATGTTTATTAAAAAAATTTAATGCTCATTTTAAAATTAAAATATATTAAATTAAAACTAATACGTTAAATTTAATATTCTGTATTAAATTTATTAAATTAATTTATTTAATTATGTAAATGAGATAGAAGTTGAATCGACCAGGTCTAAGAAACCAGAACCAATTCAACGATCTGCTATTTGAACCAGCGATTTGAACTAGTTTTTCATAGTTCAATACGAAGCCAATTTTGGAGATAACCCAGGTTGGCTAACTGATCTGTTTCCGGACAAACTGGATGGATCGATTCGGCTTTCAAAAGAATGGAAAATGCTATTTTGTAGTTGTTTTGATTACCCATTTTATATTAAGAATTTATAAAAAAGAATGTGATGTTCATGGCATATTGTATCGTAGCTTTTATAGTTTCGTCATCTTGTCCTGTTGTTTTTGTTTCATCGCGTCCATGTTTAAATATGATTTTTTGTAAGCGGGCATTTATTTACTTGAATTACATCTTCATGCGATAAATTCTTTCTTTTTAGAATTTGTTGCATATTTCATACATCTGATTTCTATAAATTTATTTATCCTAATTTTCTTGTATGAATACGTGTCAGGATATAAATCCTGCATGTTCCCAAACTTGCAACTTATTTTGCTTTGGAGAAAATGATCAAAATGGTCCCTTAACTCTATATAAATGACCAAAATGATATCTAACTATATTAAAGGATTATTTTGATCGCTCAAGTCTTTAAAGAAGAATCAAAATAGTCTCATGGTTGGACTATTTTGGTTCCTCTTAAGAAGTCGAGGGATCAAAATGGCATTTTGATCAAAATGGCATTTTGACCAAAATGGCATTTTGACCAAAATGGTATTTTGGTTGTTTAATATAGTTGGGGATTATTTTGGTCTTTACTAAAGAGTAGAGGGACAATTTTGATCATTTTCTCTTTTGTTTTGTCTCTCTCTTTCATGTGGCAATGTTTAGGTAAACCAAAAGTGGATCTTATTATATAAGTATTACAACGAGGGGTATAAAGATGTCCACCTTGGGATAGTGGATTCATTTCTTTCATCAGTGAGTTGTATGTTTATTACTAAATATGTTGGATACAGATCTATGTTTATCTTCTAATATTGGTATCATGAATGGGTTAAAATGCGTACTTGATTGATTTTTCTTCGTCTTACACAAAACTTCAAAATTGGCTTTTTAGTTGTCATAATTATCAGAAGATTGTTTTGGCTTTTAGTGCTTCTTGATTTTGCTGGTACTGATAAGGTGGTGGGGCTTTTGTTAACTTTGGTTGGAAATTTGTGCGTGTTTTCTTAGCTGATTTCCTCACAGTTGTTGGTTACATCTCTCTGCAGGTATGGCAATGCTAATGTGTGGAAGATATTCACCGATCTATTTGATTATTTTCCATTGACAGCATTGGTTGGTCCTCTGAACTTTGCTATACTGTTTATGTTAGATTTCATCTAGTTTTCCAGTCATGCAATGATAATTGTAACTTTCTTTACTAGATTATTTATGTTGAAGTCATCGCTGTTTTATCTCTCCATCATATGCATGCCTAGTTCTTAGACTTGTTGGATTCTAGAAGTTCGAGGGTTGATCTTGGGTTGGCGCTTAATTGTAAAATTGTAAAATTTATGAAATTATTATGTTTTTGAATTTTTGGCTCTATGACCTAAGTCAATTTTGGTTATAACTAGGCAAGTTTTTTCACCAGTGAATAATGCACCATAACTTCATTATGATGCAAAGTAAGAAAAGAGTTTGCGAGGGTGTCACTTGCTAGTGATGCGCCATAACTTAATATTGTTGTGCTAAAAATTTTGCAAGGGTTGGCTAAAATTAATACTAGATTTGCAACCTAAAATTAAGAAATTTTGCGTTGAAAGACTAGAGAGTTCCATATGTCCGCAAGAAATTAAATGGAAATAAAAAACAAGACAACTAAATTGGAGATGGTTATATGCTAGTGTATATTGGGATGGTTATCAAAGGAGATTGAATAGGGATAATAGTTGATGAGCGAAAGCTAAAATTGTTGAGGTAAATAAGATTAGTGCTTGGGTGATTGTTATTAAATTAATTATTATTAAGGACCTTTATAACTTTCTTCATAATGTTATTTATGTTGAAGTCAGTGTTGTTTAATCTATCCCTCATATGCATGCCTAGTTCGTAGACTTGTTCGATGTTAGAAGTTTGAGGGTTAATATTGGGTTGACTTATTAAATTAATGGAATTAATTGTAAAATATATGTGAAAATTTATGAAATGATTATGTTTTTGAATTTTTGGCTCAATGAGTTTGCGAGGGTATCACTTGCAAGTGATGCACCATAACTTAATATAGTTGTGCTAAAAATTTTGCAAGGTTTAGCTGAGATTAATACTAGTTTGCAATATAAAATTAAAGAAATTTTGCATAGAAAGACTAGAGAGTTCTTACGTCTTTGCAAGAAATTAAATGGAATTAAAAAAAAAACAACTAAATTGGAGATGGTTATATGCTAGTGTATATTAGGGGTGCAAACGAGTCAAGCCGACTCGCGAGCTGGCTCGAACTCGACTCGGTAACTGGCTCGACGAGTCGAGCTTATCGAGCTCGCGAGTCGAGCTCGAACACCATTTCGAGCTCGATGGCTTATCGAGCTCAAGCTCGACCAGACCTCTGACTCGGCTCGTTGGCTCGACGAGTAGCTCGCGTGTGCGACTGGGCGGGAAAAAAATGGCGTCAAGTCTCGAGTTTGGATCTCGACAGCGGACGCGACGAAGAACTTGGGAGTTGGGACTCGACGGCGGCCGCAATGGACTCGACGACAAAAGGATCAGATCCAGTGGGAGTTGGGACTTGACTGAGAAGACGAGCTTTGGATCTCGACGACAGACGCAATGATGAGGTCGGGAATCGACCGCGACGACGAGCTCTGGATCTCGACGGCGGAAGGATCAGATACAGTGGGAATTGGGACTCGACCACGACATCGAGCTTTGGATCTCGACGGCGGACGCAATGATGAGGTCGGGAATCGACCGCGACGCCGAGATCTGAATCTCGACGATGAACGCGAGCTTAACATCGCGGAAGGATCAAATCCAGTGGATCTTGACTTCGAACGCGACTGCAAACTCGACGACGGGCAAGCGGAGCCAATGGCGAGCTCTTGACGACGAAGGAGTTCGCAATGGAGCTCGACTGAGCTCGAAAAGCCTACTCGGGATGTTGTTCGCAGCGGAGCTCGACTGAGCTCGACGAGCCACTCGAAATATGAGACGAGTCGAGCTCGAGCTCGGATTTTGAGCTCGACTCGAGTTCGAGCTCGAGCTCGGTATTTGAAAGTCGAGCTCGACTCAAACACTACCTGGCTCGAGCTCGACTCAACTCGTTTGCACCCCTAATGTATATTGGGAAGGTTATCAAAGGAGATTGAATAGGGATAATAATTGATGATGAGTGAAAGCTAAAATTGTTGAGGTAAATAAGACTTTAGGTTGGGTTGGGTCATTGTTATTAAATTAATTATTAATAAGTATTGTACACATGCGAGGTGCCTGTAAGAATTTGAAAAACCAAATTTGGGAAGTAAAACAAACCATAGTATCACATACTTGAAGAAAAGAGGATAATTATTGATGGCAGCGTAAATTGCATAATTATTACCAAATGTTCATGATGCGTTTTTAATTTATTTATCGTTATTGGTTGACAAATGGATGCTAGAATGAGGCTGCCTAATTAGCAACTCTGGATTAGCTCTCTGCAGGTCCACTGCTATATTTTGGTTACAAGTTTAGAGCAAAATCCTACAATAGTCTCCTGACTATTAATTAATGCTAAATTTAGTTACAGACTTTCATAATAATCCAATATAATCACTCCATTATTAAAAACATCCAACTTTTATCATTGTCAAAAGTAACAATTAAAGTTAACTGAACAATTAAATGTTAGAGCATTTTGGATATTTGGGTGTATATGTGATTATATTATTCTTATTATATATTTTATCATTATTCATATTAAAATAAATAAGTAAATAATAATGGAATTTAATCAACTAAATAATAAGAGTGAATAACTAATAAACATGATTAATTTTTGTTATGATATTTGTATTTATTTTAATATGATGAATGACAAAATATAAAAAAATAATAATATGAACTTACATACACGTTAATATCCAAATTTCCCTCTTATTTAACCGTTGGTGTTAACTTTTACTATTACTATTGGCATTGTGACAAATTTAAGATATTTTCTAATAGTCGGCTAAGACTAAATTGGGCTTTTACTACTAGTCTGAGGATTATTTTGGTGTTTTCTCGTAAGTTTAATCTGTGTGACCAAAAAATCTTTATTTTACAAAAATGAGCATACAATTTTTTTTTTTCTAATGTTTCCATGCCCACTCCCCAAAATCATATCTCCCAATACATAAATATTGACAGAACTTCAACTTGTATCCATGTCCCCTATGATATTTTTGGATGCTCTACGTTCCATCTCTTTTACCAGTTTTGAAACAATTTTTGTTAAAAGGGGCGAAAGAATTTCCTTTTTTACCATTAATTTATAATTGGCAAAGAAAATGAAATGGGTTGGGGGTGGATTCTCCATGGCTTATTTTTGGGTTGTTTTGTTTTAGGCTTGGTTTGGGACGGCTTTTTTACTGCTTTTTAAAACGGAGTTTTAATACAAAAATAAAAAAAATTGTACTAAAACTCCGTTTTAAAAAGCAATAAAAAAGCCGTCCCAAACGAAGCCTTAGTGTGCAATTGACAATATTTTGCTCAGAATTTCAATAATAGCCCGTTAGGATGACATAGATTCTGATTCTCTTTCCATTCACTGAATTATGTCGCTATTTTCTTATTTGAATACATCCGTTATTGTGCCTTCAAAGCTTTTAATGGGACGTAAACGTTTCCCTTGTTTGGAATAATTCACGCATAATTTATACTAAAATTAGGCAAATTATTAATTTTTAGTTGTCCAATGTTTCCCTTAGGGAAGTTTTATTTTGTGCACTAAAGAATACATAATGCTCTTTTCCTAACACACCTGCTATTCATGCTTGTGCATGCATGTGTTAACTTTTGCTTTGAAGTTTGAATATCTATTTTGTTTCCTTTAAATGGTTATGCAACTTAATTATAAGCATTGACTTAAAGTAGTTTTAGAATTTTCTATTTTTTGGATCATTCTTGTTTGATTTTCCCCGACTTAACTCTCTTAAATTTTGTGAAGGTTGAGTCAGAAATATTTTGTCTGCATGGTGGATTATCCCCATCTATTGAGACTCTTGATAACATTCGGAATTTTGATCGTGTTCAAGAGGTTCCTCACGAAGGGCCAATGTGTGACCTACTATGGTCTGACCCCGATGATCGATGCGGTTGGGGTATCTCTCCTCGCGGTGCTGGATATACATTTGGGCAGGTAAATTACTCTTTCACCACTTTGGTATTTGAACTCATTTTTTCCTTTGCTTGATGCTATTATCTATTTCAGGATATTTCAGAACAATTCAACCATACCAATAACCTTAAGCTGATTGCTAGAGCGCATCAGTTGGTCATGGAGGGATATAACTGGGGACATGTATGTTATTGTTCAATGCTGTCATCTATTTTTTTGGGACATCCTGATAGCATTTATTTATTTATTTATTTCCCCGTGGCTTGCTCAGGACCAAAAGGTTGTAACCATATTTAGCGCACCTAATTATTGCTACCGCTGTGGGAACATGGCCTCCATATTAGAAGTTGATGACTGCAAGGGTCACACATTTATTCAGGTCTTCTTCTCCCTACTTCCCTCTTTTTCCCAACTTCTAAGGGCATCTCCAATCGAAAATCTCATTTTTCACTGCAAAATGCCGTGATTCATCTCCAATCGAACTCCATTTTTTCCCCTTTTGCGAAGGTAATAGTCGTTCTCTGCTTTCGCGCGTTTCTTTGACAAGTTCGGTAGAGACCAAAAAATGGCAAAGATGAACAGTGCAACGCCAATATCAGCGCCCACTGTTCACCCGCAACCAAATAGCGGAAGTTTTTACCGTTCGGCTGGAGCTCGCAAGCGACGCATTCAAGCGTTTGGAGTTCGGTTTGAGATGCCCTACCATCCCATGAGAAAACAAATGGGAATGCTTTTTTGAATTATTTTATTTACGTCTTCTGAAATAGTTGTGCCCATTATTATGCAGTTTGAACCAGCACCAAGGAGAGGCGAACCTGATGTAACAAGGCGAACTCCTGATTATTTTCTATAATTCTTCATCCATTTAGCCTGTCACTGATATCTGGCTGCAAGTGTAGACGCTAGACAGGTTACTTACTAGTTAGGGACAGACAGTTCAATTATTTCGAGCTTCTTAGCTTGGTGGTTTGAAGGGTAAGAGAGAATGTGTATGTTGAGGGGGAAGGATTTTGAAATTTTCTTGCGATTTCGAGGACTTGTTATTGGTTTCAATTTGTGGCTGCGAAAGCAGTAAGGGTACAGTATTCAGTGTACTGTGATTCCGCTCCCTTGTTTTGATTTTGCCCCTTATTATATTTACTTCATTTTCAGTATATGTAGAGATGAGAGATCAATCTTAGTGTGCAATTCTTAGCGTTAGTCTTTCTTTCCAGTTATTAGCTAAAATGCTTTTTCCATTGGCAATCAATGAGGAAAAAAGTCGTGTAGTAATTATGGCAGAATGAGTTTGAAAATTACTTGTTGAGAAGGAAACGCAGAATAAAGGAATGCAACCTAAGAGGAATATTATGATGTATTAGAATGAGTGCAGAAGAAATGTAGCATAAAGTAAAATGAATACCATGTTAAAGAGGTAGTGTGATATTAGTAGGATGTTTGATAGTTCAATTTGGTTAATGTGTGAATGATTAGCTTGTAGTAGTCTTATATAAATTAAATTATGTCTATTTAGAAAGGATGGAGATATACAAAATGATGAATGAATTCAAAATTAATTTACTAATTTTTTTATTTTCTTGTTTCTTTTGGTAGATTAAGCAAAAAAAAGCTCATATTGCTTTGTTATGGTCATGTTCCTAACAACATATGCTCGCAATATATAATAAGCCGTTGCTCGGCCACGTTATCTAGAATACCGTCGCTCTATAACAATTTTTGCACCATTTTTGTTGATAATCTTTTGAGCCTTATCACCTAATTATGATATTCTAATCATCTTCAATGAATATTATCCTCTAACCATCATCACTAGATTAGGCCTCTAATTATTATTGCTTAACTATATTCTTTCAACAATTCTTATCACCATCATCCTATTATGATCCTTTGACTACCGTTGCTTGACTACAATCTCTTAACCACCATTTGCTTTACTATGGTCACCCGATCATCATCATTCAATTATGATTTTCTAAACATCGTCGTTTGATTGTGCTTTCAACCACTATTACATTACTATGATCATTCAATCAACATTGCCCGACCATGTTCTTCCACTCATCATCTCTTGATTGCAATCCTAAGATTACCATAACCATTCTTTGATCCTTCCACCACAATTACTTAATAGTCTTAACTATAGCCCTCCAGTCATTGTTCCCCAACCACGACCTCCCAAATATTATCATCGAATTATAATCCTCTACAATTTTCATCTGACATGGTCCTCTGATCATTGTCTCCAAACTACGATCCTCTAAGCATTATCATCATAATGCAATCCTTTAACCACTCACTTGAATATAATTCTCTAAACATCATATCAAGACTACTATCCTCCGACTATATTGAGAAACGTTGTTTTGTTACCCATTGTCACCAATAGTGTCGACAAACGCCATAGCTTATGAGCCTAATGCATGTCGTCGATACCAACATTGAGTTCAAACATCAAAACTCATTTATTATGGACTTATGTTAGTTTTGTGTGCAATCTAATTGTGTCGATCGATCGGGTTCAATTGTTGGCTCAAACCTCAATTACGTTGGTTGAGCTTGTCGAGTGGTTGCAGGGGGGCAGCGCTCCCCCTTCTTGGGGTTCGAGGGCCTTAGAGTGCAGCAGTGTTGTACATTGAAGCGTTGTATTTTAGTGCATTGCAGTCGACTTGGAGCAAATAGTGGAGCACTGTGGCACTCCAGGGCTAGCGTTGTGGCGCTACAAGTCAGGCTTGAGACAAACGGGCTCCAACCTTGCTGTCGTACCACTGTGAGTTGGGCTGGGTAGTTTTTCTTCTCATTTTCATGTTTCACTTTAGGGTTTCCATCCTTTGGTATATTGAAATGTTTTGTCTATTTTGTGTGAAGAATTAAGAGAGGCAATGAGAAAGCATGACCAGAGAGATTTGTACAATTTCTTCCAATTTTTACATTGAATTTCTTGGTATGGTGTGGCTTCATAATTTGTTTTTCATTTTGATTTTTTCATGTTAAATCTTGGTGTTCATTTCTATTTTATTTTCTTGCATGTTTTGTTGTGTGCTTTACTTCCCCAACAACTACTTGGTCTTTAGTTTACTATCCTCATAGGAGAATGACCAAACATACATCAAGTAATCTTTGGAAAATAACTCCCATGCCACATGGCTATTTGAACCTCCACTATGAATTATGTTCTATATAATTTATATTTGCTATATTGTATTAACACCTCCTCAATAATTAAGAAAAGCATCACTTATAAATGATTATAAACCCTAGTGGAATTATTACAAAAGGGGCATTTCCCATGTTTTTCCCTTTTTTCAAAAATTTCACATACAAATCTTAGCATCTCTTGCAAATTTTTGTGTATCTTTGTGTATTTTGGATTTTCATATCAAGCTAATATATTAATCTCTCTCTGTCATTATGAATGTTCAGACACAACAAATTTTAAGCATTTTAAAATATTAAATATCATTTAAATCATTAAAAATGATTCATGATTCTTTAAAATATTATTTATTTATGTTTAAGTGTTGGTTGATGATATAATTTACCCTTCTGGTGAATTATGCATAATACCTCTAAGTTAGAGGCTCTAACCCTTCATTTCTTTATTTTTATTATTAACCAATCTAAATCTTAGTCCCTTTTAAAAACATATATTTAAGAATATTTTCTTCTTTTAATTTATCTTTTGGGTACTTTGATATGCTACTTAAGCTCAAGGTGGAGTTTATTTTTCATTAGGATCCTAAGATCTTGGTGGTTATATGGTCCACCTTATGAAGTATCAGGTTCCCCCATTTGATTCCTTAACAAGCCTTTTAAATGATTTGATTTCTATTTGAGGTGTAAATTTATTCTTAAGTACCATTAAACCAATTAGTAATTTTAGGTACTTTGATGTGTTAACCCACCTATGCATCATAATTATCTTAGGATCCTAGAATGACATGGTCCACCTTAGGCTTGGAGACAAATCCTTTGGGTTTTTTTAACCTTTAAATATTAAACAAATAAAAATCATAAAATACATATCGCTTAAAATCATTTATAACCTAAATATAAGCCAACCTTTGCTATAAATTTAGTCAATTTCTCTTGAATGTTAAATAAAATGCAAATCTTATACATCTTAAAGTTAGGATTTAGTTAGGGTTTGTATTTTCCTAATCTTCTTATTGTGTGATGTATAATGATGGGTTGGTATATCATTTGGTGATAATTATATGTACTGGTGATTCTATATTCTATTATTTTATAGATGATATCTTAATCAAAGGTTATTTATGTATGCATGTGAAATAGAGCCATGGAGAACTAGATGTTCAAGAGTGCACAAGTGAAGCAATTGAAGTCCCACATGTAATCCCATTTGTGTATAGATTTATGGTTTGGCTTTGTCTCATAGTAATAATCTTATCAAGTTAAAATTAAAATTAAATTCATTTTAAAATATATTTGTGTATTATGTAATAATATCTTTGAGCAACCTAAATTTTTAGGGTTTTATTCCTTAGTTTATTATCCTTTGGACCTTTCTTAATATCTATTTATAAGCCTATCATATCCCCTTATAGACTCCTGAAAATTAGTCATTCTAACCACCTTTAAAATCTTAAAATATTTTCAAGACCTCAACCAAAAGTTTTCCTATTATTTGTCTCTATAATATATAATTAATTATGTGAGGCTTTGGAGCTTGCTCCAATTGGGAGTTTGAAAATTTGAATAAAATAAACCCCGTTTAATATTATTCAAAATTAGTAAGAGAAACATTTGTGATATATGTATAGATGAATGTTGATTCATGTATTTATTTTCTTTAAACTCTAAAAAGTGTGATGTAATATATTCCTTCACAAAGTGTTTAGAAGGAAAATGCATCATTTACTTTCTATTTTGAACCTAAAAGAGGTTTGTCTCTATCTTTTTGGATAGTATATTCCTTCCTTCACATTGTTTCCCTATTAACCTTAGAAACAACACTTGTTTAAACATTTGGAAAGAATAGCACCGTAAAGAATTATTTTTGTAATAGGAACAAGTTTTAATGATTATAGTCAATTTTTAAATTCATTTCTCTATTTATAAAAACTAAATTAGCTTAAAATTGTAATCTATAAAATTCAAAAGTTTTAAAACACATTATGATCTTACAAATGATAGAATAAGATAATACTTAAAAATATTAATTATTGGCATATTTCAACTTCACAATAAATCCTATAATGGAAGCTCTCCTCAAAGCTCTCAAGAATCACTTAACTACTGCTTGCTTGTTATATATCCTTATTGAAAAATTCAAAATATTAACTTTAACAATATTAAAGATAGATGTTAAGAATTCATTGAAAGAAGATGTCACATATAATGAGTGAAACAAATAAACATTATAATTAATAAATTAAATAAAGCATTAATGGATGAGATATCCTAACTTTATATCTAATATAATATAAATTGAATCTCTAATTTGGGAATATACACTATTAAAAATATTAATTAATACATAAGCCTCTTTGGAAAAAAATCACTATAACTATGCAACTACAACCTTGTAATACTAAGAATCATATACTTCTGCCACCATTTGACTTTATTAACCATCTTTAGATGCTTTATCTTATGAATGTTATTCTCTAAGGTTCTTCACCCAACATCCATCATCATCAGATGTTCAATGCTTGTTTTCCTCCAATGCCTAAGATGACCGACATCCATAATCTCCTAAGGTCTATCATGTAATGGTCACCATCTTCTGACATCCATCAATTAGCATTTATTGAATAATACTTGTTATAAATATATATTAATCACCTACTGCCCATCATCCATAATATTTTTCATATTTAGGTGTTTATAATAATCAAATATAATACTCCCTTAACTTTTATCACCGCTTGATATTTAAAATTGCTTGGTACCCAACATTGCTTGACGACCAAATTTTTTTGGTATTCATCATTGTTTAATGCTCATTGTTGCTTGAGATTCATCTTTGTTTTGCACATTGTTGATTAATCTGCCTAATATATTTCATTCCTTGATACTCATCATCACTCAAATTTTATTATTAAAAAGTGTATGTTATCCCCTGAAATCCATTATTATTCGACATGTATATATACTCTTGATTGTCAAGTAGTTACCTTCCTTTCACGGTTATGACAATTGTCTCAACTTCCTA